ACGCCCTACGATGCCAAGAAGAAAGCTGCACATGCTGCCAAGACGGTGAAGCATGGGGTGAGTGTTCCCCTCTGGCCCGGCCCGGCCCCAGCCCGCCAGCTCCCAGCCTTGCCCCAGCCCCAGCCCCAGCCCGCCAGCTCCCAGCCTTGCCCAGACCCAGCCTGCCAGCTCCCAGCCTTGCCCAGACCCAGCCTGCCAGCTCCCAGCCTTGCCCAGACCCAGCCTGCCAGCTCCCAGCCTTGCCCAGACCCAGCCTGCCAGCTTCCAGCCTTGCCCAGACCCAGCCTGCTCCCAGCCTTGCCCCAGACCCAGCCTTGCCCCAGACCCAGCCCTAGCCCTGGCCCCAACCTCCCAGCTCCCAGCCTTTCCCCTGGGGCTGGGCTCCTGCAAAATCCCCCTGCCCTGGCCAGAAGATCTGAGTGCTGGGCATCCTGTGTGTTACAGGCGGGGGCCGAGATCTCAACCGTGAACCCTGAGCAATACTCCAAGCGCTTCAATGAGTTCATGTCCAACATCTTGACATAGTCATTTTCTACCCTCAGCCAGAGCCGGAGGAGAGCTGGATGTGGGATCGGGAGAGGGAGGACCTGGGCCAGGTGGGAGGGTGGGCAGCAGGGCCTGGGGGGTGGGGAGTTGGGAGGGCTTCCACCATGAGACTGCAGCCTGTGACACTGCTGATGGCCTGGCTGGGGCAAACAGGACGTGCTGGGTGTGTACTTGCTCCCAGAAGACCCTGCCTTCTGCTTACCCTGATTGGCAACCCTCAACCATTTGACCCAAGTGAAAAGGGGTTTCCTTTTTAGTACCTGGTAGCCTTTTATGGTACCTGGGGCCCGAGGCAGGACGTGGTGGGTTCCTTGAGATTCTGTTTCCAGAACGTTGCTCCTGGTTTGCTTTTTATAATGATGTGTGTGTCATCACCCTGCCACCCCCACCCCTGCCCAGCTCCCGGCTCCCATCTGTCAAGGGGGCCTCTGGGTGAACCAGCCTAGAGGTGCCTGGAGAGTAGACGCTGGGGGAAGAGGGGAGGCCCGTCTGTGCCTGCAGTGAGCTCTGGGCTGGACCAGCGTCTCGGCTGCGCCTTGATCTCGGGCTGCAGTTAAATGTCACGTGCCCCCCACATGGCATCCTCCAGTGCTGACTTCCCACAGGATTGCTCTGGCTCAGCCCTGCCCACTGTGGACCAGGATCAGAGACCTCAAGGGCATAGGCTTCATCCTCGGGATGATTGGGGACGCAGGGAGTGGGGCATCGTGGGCCACGGACAGCTGGTTTTCTGAGAACCCTGTGGCCAGTACCTAAGCCCAGACCATCCCAGCCCCTGGAGTTCAGGGTCTCTCTCCGTCTTGCCTGCCTCCGCTGGGTCGGCCGCAAGCAGCCAGAAAGCACCTTGGATGGACTAGGACCCTCACGTCTGCGGTTACTCCCCTCTGCGGAAGCGACGGAAGGGATGTCTGTGCCCACCATTGACTTCCTCCACCTCCTCCCAGGCTGAGCTGGTGGTTGAGATGGATCCCCAGGGACAGGCAGTGCTCCCTTCCAGATCCATCCTCCAGCCCCAGGACAGCCTCCCTGTGCCTGGGGTTTGTCACCTGGACACAGTGTCCCTGAGGATGTGACCCAGGACAGCCACCGTGGAGGCTTGCCACATGACCCCTCCCCAGACTGAGCAGCTCTGTGGTTCTGAAACCTGCATGGAGGAAGTGGCAGCCTGCATCCTGCGAAAATTGGCCTGCCCCTGCCAGCACCTGCCACCCGGGCCCTTGACTCTGTGCCCTCAGCGGGGTGTGGGGCAGCCAGGAGAGGACGCTGCCCTGGTGCTTTGAGAGGAGGGAGGCGTATCGCCATGTCCTCCCCACAGCCAGGAACAGGGATTGAGGAAGAGAGGGTGTGCCCTGTAGATAACCCTGAAGCTGTGAAGAAGGTGTATGGCACGTTCAAAGGAACAGAGTGGCTTCCCAGTGGCTCAGCTGGGGAGTGGGAACAGCACGGGGAGCCAAGCATACTGGGGCAGCCTCTGTGGGCCTGCAGCGGGAGGAGGCAGATGGGGATGAAGACACTGCCCTGACCCCAGAAGGGCCGTCGGCTGCAACAAGACTGGCAGGCATGTGGCGTGCAGGGAGAGTGTGGAACCTTGGCTTGTCAGGAGAGGCGATCTGAGCAAGAACAGGGATTGTGTGGGAGTAACGTTGGGACTTGATTTCCCCACCTCATGATCAGAAGTAGAAACAGACATGCTTCCAGTCCAGCCTGTGTCTCCATGTCTCCTTAGCTCCTCTGCCTTCCAGCCGCTGGTTCTGGTCCCGTCGCCATACCCTGTGTGTGACAGGTGCACCTCGCTGTGCAGTTACCCCCAGGTAACTGACTCCTTGAACCGTGAGGTTGTTTGCTGTTGTTGTTTGGTATATTGTTTACATTTGGAGGGTAGCATTCTGGTCCAAATGCTCTTTCTGGTTGACAGTATTGTTGATAATATTGGAGCTGTGGCTTGGTGGATTTTCTATTTCTTTTTTTTTAAAGGTCATTCTCTGTGCGATCTTCAAAATGTTGGTCCAGCCCGGTGATTTCCTTTGGCATTCACGTTTAAAAGCGACTTACCTTGCCCCATTTTCTTTCTCTTTCTCTGATGTGATGCTGTTCCACTTGGCTTGCAGTCTCAATGCGAGGGCAGCAAAGCAACACCCTTAACCCTAGCTCAGTCCTCTACCCCCGGCCCCACTGCTGGGACCCGTGTCAAAGAACGGGCAGCCTTAGAGGTGTCCCAGGATCCTTCTGAGTCTCCCAGGAACCAAGGTGTAAGAATAAACGGATAAAAAAAAACAGCAACAACAACAGAAATAAGTGGATGGCAACAAGAGGCCTGGACGGGGGGAAAGGGCAGGGATCTTCTCTGTCTTGCCACTTCCGGGGTGGCATCCAGGCACAACTTCCTCTGTCCCCAGCCACCAGCCCTTGTTCCTGTTAAATAACCACTGGGTCTCCAGGTCCCCTCACAAGCTCCTCCCTCCCACCCCCTGCTCATGGGCCGCGGTGGAAGCAGTGCCCGTTCTCTCCGTATCTAGCTCAGGGGTTACTGGTCTGTGGCAGGTGCCTGCGTCAGTGGCACTCCCCAGAGTCCTGCCACAGGCAGCTCTTCCTCCCACCGCCTCGTCCTCCTTCACCTTCTTCCCTGGCCTCCAGCAGGTCCCCTGGGTGCACAGGAGCCAAAGCATGCTCCTGCCCTCTCTAGCCTGCTGGGGCCCAGCCTTGGAGAGGTGGACCAAGGACCAGGCTTCCCTCATCTACTCCCACCCTCAGCTGTCTTGGCACCAGTTCGTGCCCCCTCAGGCATCTGAACCCTTCAGGGGTCAGGACCCTGGGCAGTAATGTGGGGAGGGAGTACTCAAAGGGAAAACACAGGCGGGCAGCTGCCCCTAACTCTACTGGCCACCTGCAGGGGGCAGTGCCAGCCCTCGGGCCTCTTAGCAAGAGTCCTCCAGTCCCCAGGGGAAGAAGAGGAGGCCAGTCCGAGCACTGCAGCCACCACCACACCCTGTGTGCGACTTCATTCTCCCTGCAGTTTCCATTTTTTAAATAGGAATTTTTGACTCCCCCCCCACACCCTGTGCTTGTCTAATGTCTGCTCTAAACAGTTTGAGACTCTTGTTACTGTTTTAAAATGCATGCATGTTGAGATGAATCTTCAACAAGAAGAAAAGAATAAAACAAATGGCTTTGTGTACATGGTCACATGAGTCCTTTGGAAATAAAGGGCGTTTCCTTTCAGAACAGAAGGGTTTGGGTTCCAGCTAAAGCCAACTCATGTTTGCAGTGTACAGCCTCCGATCCAACTCCTTGCTAATTCCTGGGAAAGGCAGCAGAGGATGGTTTCAAGTGCTTGGACCCTGTACCCATGTGGGAGACCTAGAAGAAGCTCCACCACCCCGCTAGCTGGGCCTGCTTGCTGTTCCCTGTCATGGACAGCTGCCCAGCCCTTCCCTCATCAGAGGGGAGGCTTCAGCAGGTACCCACACCCACGTGGACACAATACCCTTGTGGATCTCCTTGTCTCCATCTGGACGCCTGGTGCTTAAAATCGAGTGTTCTCCAAGTATGGGTATGACCAGTAACTCAGCAGCCCTGACCCTCCTGGCTCAGATGCAAGCCTGTCAGGAGGCCCCTACTGCTGGTGAGGGGTTCGCTGGCTCACAGAGCCGCCAGCACCTGGGGCACAGGCTCTTCATGGAAGATCCATTACATCAGTCTTAAGGGACAGACCTGGGGCCCGGCGCGGTGGTGAGCACTGAAAAGTCCTCACCTTGAACACGCCAGGATCCTATATGGGCACCGGTTCTAATCCCAGCAGCTCCACTTCCCATCCAGGTCCCTGCTTGTGGCCTGGGAAAGCAGTCAAGGATGGCCCAAAGCCTTGGGACCCTGACCTGTGTGGGAGACCCAGAGGAAGTTCCTCGTTCCTGCTTCGGATTGGCACAGCACCAGCTGTTGCAGTCACTTGGGGAATGAATCATCAGACGGAAGATCTTCCTCTGTGTCTCTCCTCTTCTCTGTATATCTGACTTTGCAATAAAAAAAAAAAAAAATCTTAAAAAAAAAAAAAAAAAGGACAGGCCCAACTGAGGTGTTACTGAGCTCCCAGATGAGTCTAAAGACTCGGAAGTGCTGCTCTAAGAAGGTTCCCTGTGGGTGCCTGGCCACTGGGCCACAAGAAATGATGAGAGAGTACTAGGGGGTTTTCCATTAGGCTTTGGTGAAAAGGGTTCCATGTTCTGAGGTAAAATAGTGCCCGGCTTGCTTTCTGCTGTACCACTTACTAACATGGCCTTGAACAAAAGCTGAGCTGCCCTTTATCCCGAAACAGTCCACGCACTGACTGGTAGGATGTGCTTGGAGCAGGGTACGTGCTGCCGTCCCTGTGGGGTTCCCCACAGCAAAGCAGGAGGAGGCCTGGGGACAGGTGCAGAGGGAGCCAGGTGAAGGCACTGAAGACAACAAAGCAGGAATCAAAGAAAAGCTGCTTTATTTAAAAAAACACAACCAACCAACCAAGTGGGCATTGGGGGCAGGGTCAGTCCATTCGAGCCTTCAGGGTCCGGGTGGTGATTTTGTCCTTCTCGCTGTGGAGGAGAAAACAGGAGATGACACATACAGCCAAACTGACTGTGCCTTGGAGTGACCCAGGGGACCCAGAGGAGACGAGGAACAAAGCAGTGAGCCCTGCAGCTCCTACTGTGGGTGGGAGCCGAGGGCACAGTGCCTGGTGCCAGCCCCCTCAAGGAAGGGGATGGGGGTTGGTATTTAGGGAGTTAGCCTGGGATGCCAGGTAAGACACCTGCAGGGGCTCCTCCCTCCCCCGCACCCCTGGGCACCTGTCCCATGAGGAACAGTGGCCCTGGGACCAGGCTGCGGTGACCATGGCTGTGCTTACAGAAGCCAGGCAGCCAGGAGGAGGGCAGCGGCAGCTGTACTCACATGATGTGCACAATGACCCCCATGCCTGACACAGCATCTCGGTCCACAGCGTTGAGCATGGCTTGGGAGATGGTCTCAAACAGGTGCTCCGGGTCCTGCCAGCAGAACACAGCCCTCAGACCTCACCACCTCAGGCTACAGCTCGCTCAGCCACAATGCTCTCCCCACTAGCCCCTTCCTTGGCAGGGACAGAGCTGTGCAAATGGAAGTCAGAGCTGTTCTGCCTTATGGCTTGAGACAGAGAGCCCATGTCGTCACCTCTTTCTATAAGACAAGGACCAGGAGGAAAGTCCTGCTCGGCAGCCTGGTGCCTCCTGAATGTCCCTCGGGTTCCTCAAAACTCAGCCCACCTAGGGTGACCCCCGTCCTGTCCGGGCCAGGCCCACTGGCATCTTCACCTGCTTCACTTCCATTTCAAAGGACTGCATCTCCTCCACTCTAGCTGCCCTCCCAGGGCCCTGCAGCCTCTCTCCAGCACAGTCTGCAGGCCTCCCGTTCTGCCTGCTCCCTGCAGTGAGGGAAAGTGCTGAAACTGCTTGTGGGACGGTGTTCAACAGCCTACCACAACTTCCATCCGCAGCATCACCCGACCCTGCAGCTCCTGCAACCCCTGCAGTGCCGCCACTGAACACAGCGGCCCCACTGGTACCTTGGCTCAGGTGCAGGCCCTCGCTCCTGCCTGCAGCAAACCCTGGTTTCCCAGAGGCCGGGCAGAGCTGGTACCAGGGTGCTCTAGGGGTGCACCTCAATGCCACTTATAGGGCAACTTCCATACTGTCCCCACATTACGGGACAGGTGACCAAACCTCAGTGGTCAGATGGTAACTGAGTTGGGCACTCCAAGGCCTGCTACGCTGGGGTGCCTCCAGCCCCAGCCTTGGTCATGTCTGGCCATGGATTCATGGCCAACCCCCGTAAGTCCAATGTGAGGAAGCAGGGGCTGTTGTCACAGACATCCGGCTGGGTCCCCAAATGACATGTGCTCCCCTCTGAAGGCAGCCAGGACCTGGGCAGCCCCTCTGCCACTACTGGCTGTCTCCCACCTGCACCCCACTCCTCAGTACCTGTCACAATAACACATTTCCTCCCCCAATGGCCCAGGAGTGGTCTGGCCCTGCTCCAGGACCCCAGCTCACCATGTTGGGCTCCCAGAGGGACTCGCACATCCCGTACATCTGTTCGGCGCAGGTGCCACTGACGACAAAGTCATCCGTTACCATAGGGCAGCCAATGAGGTCGAGAGAGCAGATGAAGGGCTTATAGGTCTTGGGGTCTAAGCCTGCGATGACTGGCTCTGTGTAGTAGGGACCAAACCTGCAGGTGGGATCAGAGAGCAAAGGACTTGGTGTGTCACCCTGTGCGGCCAGTCACACGAGGAGAAGGTAGGCCTGTTCCTGGGCTCACCCTCCCCTGGCACTGGGGTTCCATGAGCCTTCAGCCTCCCCCTTTCTCCAATACTTAACTGTCTGTCCTTCTCAGCCCTGGCCCCTCTCCCCACTGCTCTCTGCAGGTTTTGAGCTGATCTTCTGAATCTAAAATCACCTGACTCCCTATTCATACATCTGAGTCTGCTCCTTTAGCAACAAGGCCAGTGTGGTGGCACAGCACGTTAAAGCACCATCTTCAATGCTGGCATTCCACACCAGTGCTGGGTCCTGTCCAGGCTGCTATTCTCCATTCTAGCTTCCTGTTAATGAGCCTGGGAAGGGAAAGATGGCCTGTGTGCTTGGGTTCTTATCACCCATGTGGGAATACGAGGCTGGAACTTCTGCCTGGCCCAGCCCTGGCCATTGTGGTCACTGGGGGAGTGATTTAGTAGAGAGCATCTCTGTTGCTCTGCCTTTCAAATAAATCAATAAATCTTTTTTTTAAAAATTAGGGATATGAGGTAGTTTATAGGAAAAACGTGGGAAAACAAAACTGAACTAATGCAATGGAATGCGAAATGCTGAGACAGAACACAGGTTCTCCGTCCTGAGCCTCCTGGCAGGCAAGGCAAAGAGAGCCTTGGGTGGCCACACCCATACTGTGTACCGGCAGGACAGGGCAGCTCGTCGGACGCTGGCCCAGACACTCTGCTGAGGAGCCAACTGTGAGTGCCACGCACCTGGCACTCAACACCCAGCACACACTGAAGAGCAGCCAGCAGCCGCTGCAGACGTACCACCCACACGCCCTGGGGAGGCACACAGTGACTTCCAAGGGCACCACCTTCAGTTACAGTTCTTCCCAACCCCACCCTTTCTCTCTTTTTTTTTTAAGATTTACTTTATTTTTATTTCAAAGGCAGAAGTAGAGACAGAAGAGATTCATGCACTGATTTCCTCATGGCCAAGGCTGGGCCAGGAGTCAGGAGCTTCACTGCGTCTCCCCCACAGTGCACAGTCCCAGGGCTTTGGGCCGTCTTCTGCTGCTTTCCCAGGCCATGGCAGGGAGCTGGGTGGGAGCTGGAGTGCTGGCTGCTGGAGTCGCAAGCAGCAGCTTCTCTGGCCCCAGGGAGAAGCTGACAGATCATAATAATCTATCCTGCACATCAAAAAAGGGAGGACGGGGAGTCCCTGGCCATGGTACCCCTCCACCCTACATGCTGCCTTGTCAATCAGAGGTCCCAGAAGCTGTCGCGGCCTCAGCCACATTTGTACCCACCGTTTCTCATACAGGAGGTTTGCCACCATGCTCATGAGCGTGTAAGGCTTGATCTGCCGGCCTTCCTTCAGCTCGTATAAGTTCAGGCGGAACTTGAGGCGCTGTGCACTGTGGCAAGAGGAGGAAAGGGAGGCGGTGAGTCACTGCGGGAAGCCCTCTGCTCTCCTCCCTGTGGTGGGCAGGGGAAGCCAACCACGGTCCCGGGACCCACACCTGGCAGCTGCCATACCTGCCTCCAGACCAGGGCCATGGCTGTGTGCCAGCATGGGCCCAAGAGACCTGCACCAGCTCATGTCACAGGTGAGGAAACCATGGCCCAATCACTGCCCCAAGGAAGCAGACAGGGAGAAACGCCGACTAGAGTAAGGGACCCAGGGCCAGGACATGTCCCTGTCCCACAGCTGCCACAAAACGGAAGCTGTTATTCTCCACTAGGAGAGGGAACTGGAGCTTAGGACATTACAGGCTGTTAAGGCCTAGGGGCTTCTTGGGGAACGAGAGAGAACAGTTTCTCCCAAGTTTCTGCCCACATTCCTGAGTGTAACTCTACCTGGCAGAAAAATCCATCAAGCCTAGAACCTGCTGCTCCGTAGACCACAGTTCTAGGAACACCGGCCACCAGTGTCCATAGATCCTTCCTGAAATTCTTCCTCAGGCATGGGTAAACTGCCACTTGCAACAACAGCAGGAGGTCCTGGCTTTGGCCTGCAGCCATTTGGGGTGTAAACCAGCACATGGATGATCTTTCTCTGGGCATGCCTCTATCTGCTGGTCTTGCCTTCAAATCAATCAACTTTTTTGTTGGCTTCTGTCCTTCCCCAGGGCTACGTGTGGAAGGTCCAGCCCTCAGCCCTCCACCTGTAGGGCTCCGCCCCTCCCTCACATCCTCTAGTGCCATGGTAAACCCAAACTACCTACAACCCGTTGGTTTGCTGGCCTAAGCCATTCGGTCATATTCCCTCCTAGGCCATCCTCCTCCTCTCCCCTGAGCACCCCAGTTTCAAATGGGAAGCCCCCTGCAGGATTCCTGATTGTGCCTGCACACCAGCTCCTAGCCTGGAACAGCACAGTTGCCCCAGAGACCTCTGGCAGATTGCTATGATCCCTTGGGGGCCCTCAAATTGTGGAACTCAGGTCCAACCCCACACCATGGACAGTGGATCTGCACATATCATAGCACAGCCTCTCATATACTGGAACTCGGTTTTCAATTCCCAACAAAACCCAATACAACATATGTATGGGGTACGCACAGTTGACACAGGGTACTGTGCACGGAGAAAGGACACAGTTAATATAAAAATAAAAAAAATCTACAGTTAATACAAAAACAATATTTTGGGAGCTGACCTTGTGATACAGTGGGCTAAGATACTGCCTAAGACATCAGCTTCGAGTCTTAGCTTCTCCCTTTTTGATCCAGCTCCCTGCTAATGTGCCTGGGAAAGCTGCAGAACGTGGCCTAAGTGCTTGGAGCCCTATATACATGTGGGGACCCGGAGGAAGTTCCTGGCTCCAGCTTTGATCTGGTCTAGTCCTGGCCATTGCAACAATTTATAAAGTGAACCAGCAAACCTCTCTCTCTCTGTGTAACTCTGTCTTTGTTTAAAAAAAAATTTTTTTTGGACCTGGTGTAGTGGTAAGTAAAGTCCCTACCTTGGATCCCACATGGGTGCTGGTTCGTATCCCAGCTACCCCACTTCCCATCCTGCTCCCTGCCTGTGGCCTGGGAGAATAGTTGAGGACAGCCCAAAACCTTGGTACCCTGCACCCATGTGGAGATCCCAGAGGAAGCACCTGGCTCCTGGCTTTGGATCGGCTCAGCTCGGGCCTTTGCAGCCCCTTGGGGAATGAACCATTGAATGGAAAATATTTCTCTCCGTGCATCTGACTTTCCAATAAAAATAAATAAATCTTTAATTTTTTTTTTCCAACCTCCAGTTGGTTGGTTCAGCAGGTGCAGGACTCATGGATATGTAGAGCTAGGGGTACTGAGATGGGCATATGGTGTAATGGGATATCATTGCTTTTGTTTTTTAAAAAACTACATAAGTATCTGAAAGCTAGACAGGGAGGGAGAAACAGATGGCCACAGTGACAGAGTCTGGGCCAGGCGGAAGCGAGAAATCAGAAGCTTCCTCCAGGTCTCCCACATGGGCAACAGGGGCGCAAACACATTGGCCATCCTCTGCTGCTTTCCCAGGCTCATTAGCAGGCAGCTGGATCAGAAGTGGAGGAGCCGGGACTCAAACCTGGCAACTGCTGCTCCAGTTTCAATCCAGTTCGCTATTTATGGCCTGGGAAAGCAGCAGAGGCTGGCTCCAGTCCTCGGGACCCTGCACCCACATAAGAAGCCCAGAGGAGTCTCCTGGCTTTGGATTGGCTCAGCTCCGGACGTTGTGGCCATGTGGGAAGTGAACCAGCAGATGGAAGATCTCTGTCTCCTTCTCTGTGTAAACCTGACTTTCAAAGAAAAATGAACAAAACTGTTTAAAAATGGAGGAAAAAGAGGAATAAGAGGAAAGAAAGAAGTACATCTTTACAAAAAACAAAGAGACATGGTCCTTGAAATGCAGGCCAAGTGGGTTAGAGAAAGGGAAAAAGAGACACATGTCTGGATCCCAACAAAAGCTCATCTTTTGCACACTAGGCATGTCTAAGATGGCCATTACAGCTGGACCGCCTGTGACCCTCCGAAAGCCGGACCTTTCCTGCCCCCTAGCACCCACTCCATGAGTGCCGGAATACGCACACCTGCGTCATCCCCACAACACCTGCTCTGGCCCCCACACAGTCCCTTCTCTAGTCACGCAAGCATCTAACCCGAAGTCCCACTCACCCAGGGCCGCTCATCCTTCTGACCACCATTCTTTAGGTCCAGATCCGGGGCCTTGGGTCTCAGATCCACCCCGGCTTTCTGATCAGCAAGCTGGGTAAGACACTCTCTTGAAACGGGGCAGCCACACGGAGAAGTGGACCCCGAGGGGTCCACATGTGGCCGAGACCCTCAGACACTTACACTGTCTGGACGTCGGTGGCCAGCCCGGCTAGGCCAATGTAGAGCCTGTCACCCATGGGAAAGATCTTCTGGAAGTCCGTAGTCACCATCTGGGCCTGGATTCCGAAGCGCCTGTCGGCGGCGATCGCCACACAGTTCTTCCCCTTCATGGCCATGACGGCCCCTCCATTATAGGACATAATAGACTGGGAGAGATGCGATGCCATGGGCTCAGCGTGGGCGCCAAACGCTGCCGATGACCCGGCCCTGGCCTGACCCCGACCCCAACACCAACCCAGCTCCCAGGACCCCGACCCTGACCCCAGGACCCCGACCCCCAAGACCCCAACCCCAACCCAGCTTCCAGGACCCCGACCCTGAACCCAGGACCCCGACCCCAACCCGGCTTCCGCCACCCCCGCCTCCGACCTCCCTGGTCTCCAGGACCCCAACCCCAACTACGGCCCCAAGTCCGGCCCCGACCCCAGCCCTGACCCGGCCCTCCGGCCCCTCGCCGGCTCCCGCCACCCCCAGCCCCCAGGACCCGGATCCCAGCCACTAGGCCCCCCGCCCCGAATCACAACCTTGGTACACTCATGCCCGTCAGCGCTCCGCTGCAAACTCCAGACCGCTCCCTTTCACCTCCGCCCTCGGCCTTCCCCTGAGCTCTCCCCGCTTCTCAGCCCGTACCCCACCTCTCCGGGGGCCCCTTCTCACCATGATTGCAGAGTGCAGGGACCCGCGGCCGCCACCGTAAGGCCAGGAAAACGATTCCGGCCTTTCAGAGCGACCGTCTTGAAGCTTTCTCCCCATTGGCTGGTAGGCGGGCTCAGGTTGGCCCCTTTCCAGTTTCCATTGGCTATACTCCCCTGCCAATCAGCAGTCCAGCATAGGTGAGTGGAGGAGCCAACATGGAGGCGGGGGAAACGGAAAGTGAAAAGTCACTGTGCGTGCGGAAGAGCCCTGCGGCGCGGGGCACGTTGGGATAGCGGCGGACCGGGGCGCCGGGGGTCGCGGGGCCGGGTCGGGGGTCCCGCCCGCGGCGTCTCTGCTGGTGCTGCGGGGGTGCAGGGCATACTTCTCAGTGCTGAGGTCTGCTGGGTGTCGGCTGACCCGCAGGACCTGGTCTAGAGTCGTGCGAGGCCCCCACTAAGTGCAGTTTAAGGCGGGAGCGGCGCGGGGCGTCCTCCCGGTTCCCTCGCCGCCGGCCCGGCGCGGGCAGCTCGCGTCTCGGTCCCGCGCCGGCCCAGACTCGCTCCCATTCACTTAGCTGTCACCCTTCAGGCAGCTGTCGTCTCTGTGGCGCAATCGGTTAGCGCGTTCGGCTGTTAACCGAAAGGTTGGTGGTTCGAGCCCACCCAGGGACGCTGGGCAAGTTTTTTTTTTTTTCCTTTTAAACTACATCAGCTTAAAAGTTAATCTTGCTGATGACGGAGACAGCAGCCTTTCTATTCAGCGGGTCTGTTTCTCCAGTGCTTCACTGCGTGCCCACCACCCGGTTCTCAAGCCGAGGATTGCACAGCAGCCTACAGGCGGTTTTTGTCTCCGTACACTGCATTCGTCTTCAGATTAAGGATGCATTATCAGAGGAGGTTGAACGGTTTTCCACTACCTACCTGAGGCGATGCTACTACAGTCTGGAAATACTGCAATTGGGAGGGAGGGCAGAGAGACTTGGGGCTAAAGGGGAACAAAAGGGGAGCGAGGGGACAGGTAGAGGGCGACAGGCACGGTGGGGAGGGGACACTCTAGAATTGGAGGGAGAGGAGAGGGCAGCATTTACTAAGAGAAGGTTCAGGGAAAGGAAATCTAGAAAGTAGGGACATGGACCGAGGAACTGCCAAAAGACCATTCTGGGTAAAAGGGTGTGCAGGGCGTGGAAGTGGCACTGGAAGAGCCACCACCCTGTGCCACCATTGTTCCCGTTCTGGAAGGAACCTTTTCTCACAGTAGCTAGCTCTCCGTCTGGGCTGGAAATGAGTGCCTGATGCCAGGGTCCCTGCCTGCTGGGAGGCTCTTGTCTGAGATACTTCCACTCCCGTGCGGTCAATCAAGAGACCCAGCCAAATGGCCGCCAGCTCAGAGGGGCTGCTGGCTCCTGGCGTGCGCAGAAGCGTCTGGCCGGAGCCAAAGACCAGGACAATGCTAGGCAGCCGGCCTCCCCTGATTGGAAGCCCCAGCCAGGGCTCACCTATCCCTGCTGGGGACAAGCCTTGAGAATCACTCAAGACACTGCGGGAACTTGTGGGACAGGCTGTGTGTCCCCTCCATTCTGTGAAGGCCAGGGTCCAGGGCAAAGAGTAGATAAGGTGGACATGGGACAGGTGTTTGTAGACTGGGGAAATGGCAAACTTCTGGGAGGTGAGGGGTTCTAGTGGTAAAGCCAGGGATGTGGGGGCTGGTCGTGATTCCCAATGAAAATGGTGAAATTGGTGTGCTACTGTGTCTTTCAGTCCAGCGGCTTGCTTTTCCGCCAGCTCTGCGGTCAGCCCTCTAGGATTAACGGGAGGCAGAGTGGACTAGCAGAAAGTCCACGTGCCTGTGCCTCCAAGGAGCAACCCCTGCGTTCCCGGCAGGATGCTGGTTGCTACCCGACTCTCCCGCCGAGCTCGGGGTCTTGCCAGCCGCAAGGGAACGGTGAGTTAGGAATCTTCACAAAGCGGGGAGACTCCCGAATCTTCCCGGACAGAGATGGGTTGGCCGGGGATACACTGAAATCGCCGGCTCCCGGTGCAGGGCCTGGGAGAGCAGGTGAGCGGATCTTCCCCAGGCCCTCCCCGCCCACACACACCGCCCGAGCGGCGACCACCTCCTGGGCGGAAATCTCTCAAGCCCTCCCTCCTCCTCCCGGCCCCCCACCCAGCAAACTGGAGGCTGGGGCCACACAGCGGCCAGGGTGCGCACGTCCCCTGCGCGCCAGTCAGACGGCGCAGCCTAGGTGGCCCCCAGCTTCGGGGGTTGCGTCGATGGCAAGCTAGGGAGGACGGAGGCAGGAGCTCGGAGGCTTGGCCAGGATTCGTTTCCTAATTTCCAAGCTGGAGCTACCCACCGTCAGGGCGCGCTCAATGGCGCTTCTGGCGGGATAACCGACGGACATGGTGGCCATCCCTAACCAATCGTGAATGACGGATGGGCGGATCGATCAGCTAATGAGGCCCACGGCCGTCGCCGTCACTCAGGATCGATTCGTTTCCCCGGCGCCAGCCTCACCGCGCTCTCCCTCCAGTCGGGGAGGGTGGTGCTGAGGACCTGACTGAGTCCCAGAGCTGGGGGGGAGGAAGCGAGAGCCGCGATCGTGGTGGCTGCTGACCCCAGCCTCCCGCCGGCCGTGAGCGATGGCGCACAGAGCGCGCCTGGCGCAGAGTGCCAGCGAAAATTGCGGGAATCGGCGCAAGACAGGGGGAAAAAGCGCGGGTCCGTTTCCGAGTCCCTTCTGGCCTCTCGTCTGCAGCCATGGGGTTGTGTGCCCCGCCGGGGGCCCGCGAGCCGGTCTTCGGCTGCTCCCCCACCCCATCGACCTCCCTCCCGTTCTCCCGGGGCGCAGGGCCTCCACCCGGCCAACGCCCCTAGGACTCCCCAGGGGTCCCCGGCTCTGCATCTTCGGAGCCCGCGACTCAGGCGCCGAGAGGGGCTGGCTGAGGGCCGGACACGCGCTCTGGACTCTCACTCCCCAGATGCGGTTATAAATTTACAGGTAGTGTCAGATTTGGAGTGAATGAAACCCGGGCCAGCGCCTTGGCCGGAGGCGTCACGGCCCCGGCGGGAGCCCAGCGCCCAGTGTCCGAGGCTGAAGCGGGAAACACCGCCAGCCACGTTTCGGCCCCATCCTATCACCATTTTCCAGGCACCCCAGCTAGGGGTAGGGATCGTGGGGGTCAGTGGGGGACCGGCAAGCACTCATACTTTGGGAACGGGGTTAATTGCAGTAGGGCATGAGGGGGTCCAGGGGTCACAGGGGCTGTTGTGGAATGAAGGTTAGTCCAGGTTTGAGGGGGCCCAGCATCCTGTGAGGGAGCAGTCGCTCTAGCAACCCCCCCTCTGCAAACACCCTGAAGGAATGAGGTCACGTGGGTGAGTGGTGGGCGGGACCTACTCTTGTCTGGAGGAAAAAAGCCATTTTGTCTCCCCCCCCAACTCGGGGCCCTCCCCTCCCCCCTCCGTCCCCTCCCCTCCCCTCACTCCCTCCCACCCTAAGCTGCTTTCACAAACTCCTTTCTTACGGTAGCTTTTTCCCCTCCCGCCGCCCAAGCGAGCGACACGCTGCGGCCCCACTCCCCTCCCTTCCCTCCCTCCCTCCCATCCCCCCTCCCCGGGACCCACCGGACCCCGAACCCAGGTAAGCGGACGCGATCTCCCCCTTCTTCCCTTCTCTTGCCGTGTACCCAGCTGGGGAGCGAGCTTGGGGGTGGGGGGCGGGCCACCCTCTTTACAGACCCCCGTGGGAGGGGAAGCTGGGAGCGGGGCCTGCTGCTCGCGCTCCCCCTCCCCGCCCCTAGGCGAGCTGCCCCGTCCGCCTTTCTCTCGGCCTTTTTTTTCTGTCCCTTTCCTCCCTTCCAAGATGGCCGAAATGGCTTCCCCCCTCCTTTAACGATTTGGCGTCTTCCGCGACCACCACCTCTTTGTGCGGCAGCCCTTTGGTAGCCCCTGCTCCTGAGGTAGCGAGGATTACGGTCCGGGCAGCCATGAGGGTTGGAGGGGTGGTGCGTGCGGACTCCCACCTCCTCCAGGTGCCCCCAGGGCCACAGCAGCCTCTGGCTCTGCTTGACCAACCAACCCTTTCTGGGCAGGGGTCGCTTCTCGCCTGGTGCCGGGGGTGTCCTGGGCGCCCGAGGACTTGAGGCCCGGAGGAAGGGGACGCGCGCTGCCGAGGGAGGGCGCCCTTCCTGCTGGGTCTCGGGCCTCCGGGCACCTCCCCCGGTGCTCCCAGTGCCCCGTCCCAGCTTTGCCCCCCAGTCTCTCTCTCTCTCTCTCTCTCTCTCTCTCTCTCTCTCTCTCTCCCCCCCTCTCGAGCACCCCGCTTTGGCCTTTGGGCCCCATTAAAGTTTGACTCAACAAGGTGGGAGTGGTCACTCGCTCATCAGGGTTTTAGGCTCCTGGAGGGGAGTCCGTGAGAGGATGGGAAGGGTTAGATCGGGAGACTTCGGAGGGGGTGGCCCTTTGCCTGTGACCCCTTCCCCCGGCCCTGGGGCCGGGCCTTTTCTCCCTGTATACCTTCTTCCCTCCCTGAGGGCTGGGACCCCAGACGTCCTGACAGCCTCTGGACTTCCTGGTCTCCACGGTGGGTCAGGGTCTACTCCCCCTCTCCCACTCTCACCGCCCTGGCTGCCCAGGATTGCTCTGGTGAGATGAAGTGTGGGGGAGGCAGTGCCCTTCCTGGCAGAGGTGAATTTACTCATAAACATTGAGGAAGTGTTCCCGGGAGACTCCCTGGTGGCCTGCTTCAGGAGAAGGTGCCTGATGCTCATTCTGTTGCCTTTTTGGATGGGAGTGGTTTCCTAAGAGTTCCCCCTGGTTTGGGGTTGAAGCTGGAGAGCTGGAGGCCTTAGCAGCTATCTTTGGAATGAGACAGGAAGCAACATTCAGACTGTGTGTGTGTGTGTGTGTGTGTGTGTGTGTGTGTGTAGCTTGCGAGTGGGTTCAATTTGACCTCTTTGAGGAGTGGGCAGGCCAAGAGGTCTTGATTGATGGAGCTGTTGCCATGGGGATGGAGGCATGGAGACTAAGCCGGAAGAGGTTCCTGCTTGGTGTGGAGGTCAGGTAGGTGTTGGCTGCTGGCTCCCGGCCCCCAACCCTGGGCTAGAGGTTGGGAGTTGAACTTCCTTTGTTGTCTAAAGCCTTACAGAGGACTTGGCTGGCCCCATAGCTGTGGGGATGCACAAAAGGTTGGGGTTTGGGGCAGGGACATCAGACTGTGTACTCTTAGACAGGGTGGGTGGAGTGTGCCTCTGCCAAGTGTGGGCCTGGCATGGGTCTGGCTGTGTGGCGGGGTGGGTTTTGGCCAAGTGTCTGGCATTGGTGTGTGTGCTCTGTCTGCCTGGGCGTGTGTGTGTATGTTTTGATTGGCTTGTGTGTTTTGTGAGAGGTGGAGGGGGTGTGCCTGATTCTGCATGTGCACCTGTGTGTCTTCTGTGTCTGAGAAGTGGTGATGCTGGGAGTACCCAGATGTGAGCCAGTGTCAAGGATCAGGGAAAGTTGAGAGGTGCCCCCAGGCATACCCCTGTGCCCTCAACACACACACACACACACACACACACACACACACACACACAGTTGGGTCAGGCTTAGCACCTGAGTCTTGGTGCCACTCTCTGGCTCTTGATGGTGTTATAGAGCAGGTGTTTCTTCCCTTGTCCCTTACAGGTAGAGGAAGGTGATAAGCCCTTGCCCGCTTTTCCTGCTTCCGGGTGAGATGGCCCTGTTCTCCCACCACTGCCTCACCACACCCAGGCTCTTAGGATGCCCCTGGCCCAGGCCTTGTGCTGCCTGTCCACCCTGCCATCAGGCTGACTCTCTTCTCAGGACGGCTTCTGCTTGGCTACGTGACTTTAGACAAGTCACCTTCCCAGGCTCAGCCTGGGAAAGGCAAGGCCTGGGCCAGGGGCTTCCTAAGAGCCTTCCACCTGGGTGATTCTAGACCCCAGATGTGACCTGGAGACTCAGGCTAGGGCACTGGGGAGAAGGTGGGATGGGAGCAGGCTGAGAGCAGCTGTCTTTGGAGGACGGGCCTGTGTGGCAGGGTGGTCTCCAGCAGCAGGGAGCTTTGTACATCAGGGAAGGAGCCTGCCAGGTCAAGCTCCACTCCAGCCCCTAGAGCCAGAGGTGGTGCTGCAGGGACCCTTGTTGAGACAATGGATGGTGGCAGAAAATACTGACCTCTGGCCCCACCCATTGGGGTTAGAGTTGCCTCTGCCGACTCGCAGAAGACCCCTTCCCAAGGGCCTCAGGCTCTCTTTTTGCCTCTCCTTGCCTTTCTCCCTGCAGCTCTTGCAAGCTCTTAGCCTCGTCTACCTGTTACTCAGTCCCTTTCCTGCCCACCACATCCCAGCCAGTTGCAGCTAGGAAGGAGCTAGGCATCTAGAATGTTCTCTGTCCTCCTGGGGTGAGGGAATGGAATGAGGAGGGGGCGCCCAGGGGAAACAGAGGAGCTCCTGTTTACAGTTGCTCTTGGCACCTGCTGGCAGGGCGCCCGCTGGTAACCATGACAACCAGGTGAGGGAGCCAATCAGGGGTTCTCCCTGCCCCCAGCCCCAGAGGTAAGATTCTGAGGCCTCTAGGGATGAGGGAGGGGCAGGACACATTTCTTGAAGGAGGAGCATCTTATTCAATAAACACCAGATTTTTACCATCTCTCCGCCCTCCCGCCATGTCTGCTTTGAAGAACACAGTGAGTGTGTGAATGCAGTGCCCATGGTGGTGCAGAGGGCCTGCATGTCTTCCAGGCCCCTGTATGCACGTATGCAGGAGAAAGGAGATGGCGGTGTGAGGTATACCCACAGCCACCAGGACTCTGCCTGTGTGGTCAGACCCCAAGCGATCTGCCTCACTCTTGCATGCACCCAGGCATACGGCGACATGCAGACCCAGAAAGTGGCCCTGGACAGCACATGCACGCAGCTGCTGGCTGTTCCCCACGCAGAGACACAGCCACTTGGCGTGCGTCCTCTCCCCTGGATGGTTGTAATGATATTTGGGCATCTTGCCAGGGACAGGGTTGTCATGGCAACCACCAAACAGCAGAGTAACCAGCAGCCTTCTGCGTAATTGTGAAAGGGGGGACCCACACATTGAGGGCCAGCTGAGGTCATCGCACGGAGGACAAGGAACGTTTCCCTTCTGCCGGCCGAGTCCGAGCAGGTCTTGGAGGGGCCCTTCCTTGCTGTTGGGACTCTGGGCTGGCCCTGAAACTGTTCCCTTGTCATCAGCCCTGCAAGTTGGTATCTATCCCGTTTGTGGCTTTTGTGTCTCTGTCTCTGGCCAGGGGCCCTGGGCCTCTGTTAACGGTTTGGGTCCCAGCCAGGCTCATCCTGGGGTCTCTATAGAAACTGCCGATCCTGGCTGCGAATGTCTTGTCCTAGAAAACCCAGGGCGGTGGCTTTAGGAATCTTCCTGGAAGGGAGATAAGGGTGTGAGGGTGTTGTAAAGGAGCTTTTGGGGTTTGCACTCCCACCCAACCCCACTCTTGACTCTTAACTCCAGAAGGAAGGGAGGCGGGAGGGGCCCTCCCAGGTACAGGTGTAAGCTTAGGCCTGGAAGCAGGTGCCGAAGTCAACCCAAAGCTGGGCTCTAGCTTGCCTCCCTGCGCCCTGCCTGGCTGGGAGCTGGGTGTGCTTCGAGATGGAGAACTTTCTGCTGAGCTTTGATAGGCAATCCCTGAAAGCCGCACTCTGTCCCTGGATAGTCCATATAGACGGGTGGCCGAGGTGGCAACAAGTCGCAGATGCTGGAAATGTGGCAATGCCCCTGTGTGGAAAATTGCAGCCTGGGCCCAGAAGGATGGTATGGAACACGTGTGCCCGTGGGCACCTGCACAGCACACTAGATGACTAGGGCAAGGGGGAGAGATTCCTGCGGCAGAGGCCAGGGATCAGACTGGAGCCTCCTGCCCCTACCTGAGTCTCAGGGTGGGAAACCAGAGGGCCAGCATGGTGGGTTTCCAGGGCCCATGCTGGACACAGTGATGGGTGCCGACTGCAAACTTGGGGGGGGGCCTGTGCCCGTAATGAGTGTTTGCAGGGAAGGCTTCCAGGAGGAGGAGCAAGTAGCAGGAGAGTGAGAAGGGGTGAAGGGATCCAGTCTGAGACTTTAAGGGATCATTTATTCCATTTTATTCTTTAGGGTTGGTGTTCAGGGTGGCTATATGTTTATCTCAAGTGTTGCTCCTGGTGTTTTGTTTTAAATGTTTTACTATTTGACTGAATGTGGTTTGGGACTGGGGAGAGTTTTAAAATTAATTTCAAAAACAGAATTACAGAAAGGGAAACCGATCTTCCATCCACTGGTTTACTCCCCAAACGGCCACAATGGCCAGAGCAGAGCGAACTTCCTGAGTGCAGGGGCCCAAGCACTTGGACCTTCTTCTGCTGCCTTCTCAGGCACATGAGTAGGAGCTAGGTCAGAAGTGGAGCAGCCGGGACTCGAACCATCGCATTGCAGGCAGTCACTTTATCTGTTATGTCACGATGCTGGTCGTGGGAGATGTTCTGTTCTCTTCCCTTTGCCTGCCTCCCCACATCCCTCTGGGAAATTGAATTGCTCTTCCTGGGGACTAACTTCAGCCTTTCTTGCTGCTGCTGTGGGGGGCCGGGGTGGGGAGGGGAGGGCCTGCTGGATCCGAGATTCTGATTGTACCTCTTTCCCAGGGTGACACTCCCGGGTCCCCTCTGCCCCTGACCCCGGCATCATGCATCGAACCACACGCATCAAAATCACGGAGCTGAACCCTCATCTCATGTGTGCCCTCTGTGGGGGGTACTTTATTGATGCCACCACCATCGTGGAGTGCCTGCATTCCTGTGAGTGGGCCGGGGACTCCCTCCTACGACACGGCTGTGGGGAGAAAGGAGGGGGCTGCCAGGAAGGGGTAACGAGGTTGTGGCCCAGCAGCTCTGGATGTCTGTGGCTTGAATCCCACCCCCTGAAGGTGTAAGTACCTTTGTTTGCACTCGGGGACTGGGGCGCTGCCTTGTGGGCTGGCTCTCCTTTGGCACTCTTGCACTCAGGGGGTTTGGAATCTTGGGGCTCATTTTGTACTTTCATGAGATTCCACCAGCTATCTCTAAACACAGACACACAAGATCCACCTGCTCCCGGGGATGTGTAAGAGGCAGGTGCCAGGTGTGCGAAACACACATCCCTGTTCTGCTGGGCCTTTGGACAGACCTTTGCTATAGGAACAAGGTGAAAAGGGGAAGGGGTGTCTGCCCTCACTAAAACTTGACTTTCCTCTCTCTCCATCCCGTACCCCAAGTCTGCAAAACCTGCATTGTACGCTACCTGGAAACCAACAAATACTGCCCTATGTGTGATGCACAGGTGCACAAGACTCGGCCGCTGCTGAGCATCAGGTGGGCACAGCTCCCCACTCAGCTCAGCCTCTGGTCCGAGCCTGGTTCTCTATGCCCCTGGGCCCTTTCCAGCCCCTGCAGTTATGGCACAGGGGTGAGCAAGGTGGCCAGCCACTCACAGGTTCCTGTCTGTCCGTTCTTTTCCAGGTCTGACAAAACCCTCCAAGACATCGTCTACAAACTGGTCCCTGGTCTTTTTAAAGGTATCTGTGCCCCTCCTCCCTCCTGCCCAGTGGCCCCGGGCTGGCCCCAGCCAGCTAACCCCTCACATCCTGTTGCTACTTCCAGATGAGATGAAACGCCGGCGGGATTTCTATGCTGCCTACCCACTGACAGAGGGTGAGTGCACATGTGTGTGGTTGTACACGCGTGTGTGCCACCTGCCGCCCTTGCCACTTGCCAGCCACAGGCTCGCCCAGTGGAGTTACCCTTCCTGCACCCTTAGCCAGTCTTCTCTGAGCTGTCTCATTTTGCAGTCCCCAATGGCTCCAATGAGGACCGCGGTGAAGTCCTAGAGCAGGAGAAGGGTGCACTGAGCGACGATGAGATTGTCAGCCTTTCCATTGAGTTCTACGAAGGTGTCAGGCAAGTCCCGCCCAGGGCCCTGCACTGGGCTGCATGCATGAGGCGGGGGTCCCACCCATCCCAGAGTCTTCCTAACTCCATGCTGTCTTCTACCCCAGGGACCGGGAGGAGAAGAAGGGCCCAGTAGAGAACAGGGATGGGGAAAAGGAGAAGGTGAGTGTTGAGGTCTGTCTGGGATGGGCCAGCCGCTAGGGGAGGGAGGGGTTCTAGGTGGACCCCACCCCACGGCGCCTCTCCCCCAGCAGACAGGGGTGCGTTTCCTGCGGTGCCCGGCAGCCATGACCGTCATGCACCTTGCTAAATTTCTCCGCAACAAAATGGATGTGCCAAGCAAGTATAAGGTGAGTGCCTGGGGGTGGGGGTGCGGTAGGGCCCCACCATTGGGCAGCGCTGGCCAGGGGTCTTACCGGAAACTGGCAGGCATGTGCCACTGAGCCCAACCTCACGATTAGTCTGTGCTATGGAAGTGTGCAGAACTGCCTGGGGCCAGGACAGGGTGTGTGTCCATGCACGCATGCTTGCACACTCAGAACCATGGCAGACGTGTGTGACAGAGAGAGAAAGAGGAGACAGGGCCTTCCCAGGCACAGCTGGCTTGGGAAGCCACTCTGTGATCCTTGAGGAGCTCCAGAAGTCAGACCTTGAACTTCAGTGTGTGTGCCAGGCCTGGCCCCCACACAGCTGGTCCCTTGCAGCGGATGCTGCCTTCCTCTCTAGCTTCCTGGCATTGCTTATGCCACAGGCCCAGCAATCATGTTTGGAGTTGCAAGTCGAGGACACAGGGTCCTACTCATGGTGTTTAGAATCCCACACCTCAGGCCCGGCGGTATGGCCTAGCGGCTAAAGTCCTCACCTTGCATGTGCCCGGATCCCATATGGGTGCTGGTTCTAATCCCGGCAGCTCCACTTCCCATCCAGCTCCCTGCTTGTGGCCCGGGAAAGCAGTCAAGGACGACCCAAAGATTTGGGATCCTCCACCTGTGTGGGAGACCTGGAGGAAGTTCCTGGCTCCTGGCCTTGGATCGGCATAGCACCGGCCGTTGCACTCACTTGGGGAATGAATCATCAGATGGAAAATCTTCCTCTCTGTCTCTCCTCCTCTGTGTATATTTGACTTTGTAATAAAAATAAATAAATCTTTACAACAACAAAAGAATCCCACACCTCTTGGGTCAGGGCTGGGCACAGTGGCACAGTGGGTGGTCCCCGCATGCTCTGGGAGACATCAGGTCCAAGCTCTTGGACCCCTGCCACCCATGTCAGAGACCCAGTTGGAGTTTGGGGCTCTTGCCTTCAGCCTGGTCCAGCCACAGCTGTTCCAGGCATTTGGGGAGTAAATGAGTAAATGGAAGATTTTCTTTCCCTCTCTCTCTGTCCCTCTCTCTTTCACACTCTGCCCTTTTTTTTTCTTAAGACTTATTTTTATTGGAAAGTCAGATATACCGAGAGGAGGAGAGACATAGAGGAAGATCTTCCGTCCGCTGATTCATTCCCCAAGCAGCCGCAATGGCTGGAGCTGAGCTGATCCGAAGCCAGGAACCTAAATCCTGCAGCCTCTGGGTCTTCCACGTGGGCACAAGGTCCCAAGGTTTTGGGCCATCCTCTACTGCTTTCCCAGGCCACCAGCAGTTAGCCAGTTAGAACCGGATTAGTACCAGTGGCCAGATGGGATCCTGGCACATACAAGGCGAGGACTTTAGACACTAGGCTACTATGCTGGGTCCCACACTTTGCCTTTTAAAAAGAAAAGCAGTAATAGAATCCTGTGTCTGATGTCACATTTCAGTGGTGAATTTAGAACCTCTGGGGGTCCTTATTTTTTCGTAAATTTGAGAGGCAGAGCTCCCTGAATGCCTCAAGTGCCCACAATGCCTAGGGCTGGGCCAGGGCAGGCTGGGCGCCCTGGACTCAGTCCAGGTCTCCTTTGAGAGAGCCAGGAACCCAGTGCCTTGAGTTGTCACAGCTGTTTCCAAGGTCTGCATTCTCAAGAAGCTGGAGCCATGTGTGATGGTGTAGCACACGAAGCCTCCATTTGCGATGCCCATATCCCTGTGTTGCTGGGTTCAGGTCCTGGCTACTCCACTTCTGATATCCAGCTCCTGCTCATGCACCTGGGAAGGCAGCAGGGGATGGCCCAGGTGCTCGGGCTCCTGCAGCCACATGGGAGACCTAGAAGAAGCTCCAAGCTCCTAGCTTGTCTGGCTTGATCTCAGCTATTGCATCCATTTAGGGAGTGAACTGGTAGATGGAAGACTGTCTCTCTCTCTCTCTCTAAAACTGCCTTTCAAAAGTTTTTGGGGCTAGCACCTGATGGTTCAGTTGGCTAACATCTCTTGGCACTGGCATCCCATATGGGTGCTAGTTTGTGTCCTGGCTCCCTGCTTGTGGCCTGGGAAAGCAGAAGAGGACCCATGTGAGAGACCCAATAGAAGCTCCTGGCTGCTGGCTTTGGATCAGCTCAGCTCCAGTGGTTGCGGCCACTTGGGGAGTAAACCAGTGGATGGAAGATCTTTCTTTCCACTTCTCCTCTCTGTAAATCTGCCTTCCCAATAAAAATAAATCTTTCAAAGAAAAGAAGAAAGCAAATTTGTATTCCAGTGTGGGACACGGGTGTCTCCATTGGCCAGGGGAATCCGTATTTCTGAATGTGTCCCAGGCAATTGCACCACAGCCAGAGGGACATCCAGTGCCTCGGCAATCCTTCCACAGACAGATAGGGCCATGGAGAGCCGTAGGCATGGCTGGGAATGGGGCGGTCCACAGGGGGTCTGCTTGCACGCCCCTTCCCATCCACGGGTCAGTAGTGGGGGTCAGTAGTGGTGTTAGGACGGTTCTGATGGGGAGATCAAGCCCAGCATCATGCAGAGCTTGCAGGCCCATCTCTCCTTCCCTGACACTCTCGGCCGGGCGATCTGAGCCAGGTCAGGCTTACAACATCTGTCCTCGTCCCCAGGTGGAGGTGTTATACGAGGACGAGCCCCTGAAGGAATACTACACGCTCATGGACATTGCCTACATCTACCCCTGGCGGCGGGTGAGCTGCACAGCCCTGTGTGGGGCCGGAGAAGGCAGGGAGGCCACTTCCACAGCCTGTGAACCCCTGGCTGGTCTTGCCACATCAGGTCATCTCTCTGAGAGGGCTCCTGGGACAGATTCCCAGCCCTGGCTTGGGGTGGGCAGTGTGGCTGGGCCCTTGTGGGCCCTGGTGCTGCCTCTGGCCTGGCCAGCTTTGTCTCACGCTGGCTCTCCAGGTTCTAGGCCATGCCTTTTTCCTTTTGTTCCTCCCTGGGTGCTGCGGGATGCAGCTGGGCAGCATCCCCTGACCTTCCCTTCCCCTGCTTCTCCCCACAGAATGGTCCACTTCCCCTCAAGTACCGTGTCCAGCCGGCCTGCAAGCGGCTCACCCTGCCCTCTGTGCCCACGCCCTCGGAGGGTACCAACACCAGTGGGGCATCTGAGTGTGAGTCCATCAGCGACAAGGCTCCCAGTCCTGCCACCCTGCCGGCCACCTCCTCCTCCTTGCCCAGCCCAGCCACTCCCTCCCATGGCTCTCCCAGCGCCCACGGTACCCCGGCCCCCCACCCTATCTCCCCGACTCCCCCTTCAGCAGCCAGTGGGGCCAGCGCCGCCGCCAATGGAGGCACCTCGAACTGCCTGCAAGCCCCTTCCTCCACCAGCAGGGGGCGCAAGATGACTGTCAATGGAGCTCCCGTTTCCCCTTTAACTTGAGGAAAGGGACCCTCTGCCTCCTTTCCAGCCATGCCTCTCCACTCCCTCCACTTTTTCTGGGCCCTTTTTTTTCCCACCTCTTCTACTTTCCCCAGCTCCTTCCACCACAGGGGTGGGTGGGGGTGGGTTTTATAAATAAATCTCTATATATATGTACATAGGAAAACCCAAATATACATACTTATTTTCTAAGGACCAGCCAGATTAATTTAAATGCCACAGGAAACAAATTGTGTGTGTGTGTGTGTGTGGTGGAGGGCATGGGGTGTTCATTTTTAGAAGGTCTTGTAATCTCACTTTGGGGGTACTGGAGGTGGAGCCCCAGTAAAGTGATGCTTGCATACCTCTGTTTCCCTTGGTGGGCAGGGTATCCCTCAAATCTATAGGCACAAGCCCGAACAGTTTGGGGGGCAAGGCCTGCCCTGCCCCTTCTCCCCTTGTCGAATGTCCACAGCATTGCTCAGTGCCTTTTCCAGAAGTTCCCCTGGTTCTGAGGAGCAAGTGGACAGTGGAGATGGCCTCTCCCTCGCCTCCTCTGGCAGTGGGAAGTCTGTGCAAAGAACACACAGTTCTGCCTCGTCTTTCCTCCCCCTACCCTCATGCACGTGGATATGGAGGCCACAGCTGGGAAACTCCCCATGGTGGCTTCAGTGCTGTATGCTGCCTCGTCCCCCTCCTCCCTCACCCAGGACCCTGTGTCAGGATTGGTGGCTGGGTCTCCCCAGAGTGCAGGGTGGGGCTGGGGTTGTCCTCCGACAAGCACAGAGCCCAGTTTCACTCAGGGCAAGTGGCGCTCTAGCCCCCTCCCTACCCTCAGCCAAGTTGGGACAATGCGAAGGAAGCACCCAAAAGCACAAAGAAGCAGAAACTGGAACCTTGGAGCCCAGCGCCGAGGGACAGAGCCCTGAACCAAGGGGCAGAGCCCAGCAGCTCCCTGCCGGCAAACGTCCAGATGTGGAGGAGGGAAGAGCCAGGAAGTCACATCCCTCGTAGTGTGTCTGTGTGTCCCTGGGACTGTCCCCTCCTCTACCCGAGGACAGGCTGTATCTGTTGGCTTTGTAATAAATGCTGCATATTCACCAGGGCCCAGAGTTCTCTGTGGGACACACAGGGCATGCGCTGGCAGCCTACTTTGGGGGCTCTATGGTTAGACCGCCTGTAGCCAGTCACATTGTGATGGAGTGCGATAAGGCTGTGGTCATTATCCTGGGTTTCTGGTTCAAATTCAAATCCCAAGTACTCCGCTTCTGAGCCAGCTCCCTGCTGATGCACCTGGCAGGCTCAAGTGCCTGGTGCCTGCCACTCGTGGAAAAGCCAGATGGAGCTCCTGGCCCTGGCATGGGCCTGGCCCAGCCCTAGCTGTCACAGGCATCTGAGGAGTGCAGAGTGGACACAAGCTCTCTTTCTTGCCTTTCAAGTCAGAGAAAGCAAATATTTGGGGAAAAAAAATGGAGCAGGAGGCATGGGATTCCCACCAGTGACCACAGTAACCGCTCTGTGTGGGCATGTTTCTTTAATCCCATCTCTATATACCAGCAGCCGCTGAGTCGGGAACCCCCAGCTGCCTGAGACTGGGGCGCTCAGGACAGGGAATGCCTCCCCGCCGCAGGCCAGCCCAGGATCCTCTCGGGGTGTGGGAGGCCCGAAGCCCAGGCCACTGAGACTGCCAACTCAGACAGGGGAGCCCACCTCTGCCTTCTGTATACTCTCATTCTTGTGTGTTCCATCACAGAATGGTGGCTTCTGGCTGGCCTTGCAGGTGCAGAGAGCCACTGTACGGGTCTCCTGGGCCTTGAACTTGAGTGGGGACAGGCCAGTGCGTTGGAAGAAGTGAGAGCCGTCACAGAAGGGCTGGAGGGAGAAGGAGAGACAGTCAAAGACCTGACCTGGACTGGCAAGGCTGGGCGGGTCTGGGAGAGCTCAGGAGAGCACTGCTCCATGGCGCGGCTGGTGTGGCTGGTGTGGCTGGCGTGGCTGGCGCAGCTGGCGTGGCACAGAGAGGCTGCCTGGGCTCATTCACTGTCATGGGGTGGGGACTGGGAGTAACACAGTCAGGAGGAAATCGGCACTGGTCATTATGCACTTTGCTCATGGGAAGTGGCAGGTGCCAGGCCACATGGCAGTGCTACAGGTAACACTGCAAGTCGGAGCAGCATTCGCACTCGAGGTCTGTGTGTGGCGTTACTTTTGCCCGGAACAGTGGCACCTCCCTGGTTCAGGGAAATCTGTGTCCTTTGCCTGCATTCCTGGGGAAAGAACTTGGATGGCTTGAGCGGCCACTGCGTGCACTGTACTTTCAGGCTGTGGGAGTTTTGTCCAACAGGTAGGCCCACGTTGGGGGACAGGGATATCCCACTTCCCACTGGCTGCCTAAGGTGGGGCATACTCCTTATCATCCCCAGAGCCATTGGGGGACAGACTGGGTCCTGGAGAGGGGTCCAGGAAGGTGCACAGCGGCAGCCACAGCATCTTGACCTTGGGGTCAAGGTGGGATGGGAGGAAAAGTGAGAGAAGCACATAAAACATGAGCAACCTGCTCCAAAGGACAGGAGGCAGAGGCTGGCGTGCCACACCCAAGGAAGGGTTGCAGGCCGAGGGCACAACTCCAGCCCCACACAGACCTATCCCAAGGCCATTGCCAATCTGTGGGAAAGTGGGAACGGAAGCCAGGGTTGCTGGTACCATGATGAATGGCAGCTCGGAAGAAAGGGGCCCAGAGGCCAAGATCACGTCCAGGGCTCCCACTGGGGCAGAAGGGTGGCGAGAAGCCTGGGGCTCTGAAGGATCCCTGGGCCAGCTTGGGGAGCAGATGAGCCGGCCCGTCTCCCTAGTGTTGGAGTCTGAGGCTTAGAACACTGCCTGGAGGAAGGAATGAGAAATACAGGCCTTTGGAGAGGGGAAACATGGTGAAGGCAGCAGTGCAGGCAGAGGAGTCCCGGAGCCTGCCCTCCGGCAGCCTGCCCGCAGTCCCCGGCCCTGGCCCCCTCCAAGGGGCAGGTGCAGAGTCAGGAGCCCTAGGTTACAGCTGACCCTGTCTCCGGTCAGTGTGGGTGTGCTGCCACCCCCAATTCCCTGGGGATGTGTGGGAATGGGAGGGGCACAGTGGGTGGGCAGGGACATCAGGCAGAGGTGTCCTACAATAGGGTAGGGGGTCTCTCACCTGCTTCTTGCTGCGGCCACACACACACCACCGGTAGGTTTTCCCAGCCACCAACTCCACCTTGATGGGTGTTTTCAGGGCCACGACGGGCTTGGCTGGGACTTTGGGGAACCATCGGGCCTGTGGCCAGGGAACATGAGGGCTTGGGGTCAGCAGAAAGCGGTGAAAACTCTTCCTGCCTGTGTCTGGGGTCTGCTCTGTCTCGCCCACAGGAGGCTGATGTGACGCGACTCTCCCAGGACGCTGCCTCCAAGAGGCAATAGGATAAGGATAGCATTTCAAGGCTACCAGGTACTCAGGGATGAAGGTCCAGCTGCCTTCCCTCCCGTCCTGACTCACACCAGGGTGCCAGGGAGAGGAGACAGGGGTCCCTGCACCTGGGGCTTCCTCTATCATGCGCTGTGAGGCTTCCCGCCAAAAGCTTGGCTCCTGGTCCTGCCCCACTCATTGGGAGCCATGCAGGCAACAGGGGCGCTGGACGCTGGGAAGGGTGCTCTAGTCCCTGACTGCTGCCTCGGTGGTTTGGGGACTGGGCGGGAAACTTGTGCGGGATTGGGGGAGGGGAAGGAGTGCTTACCAGCCATGAGGAGATGTTCCGCGCAGGGCCCAGCATCTGTGAGGCACACAGGCATTGAAACAGAAATGGGATTAGTGGTGAGGGGCTGGGCTGAGGGCGCATGAGAGAAATAAGAGGGTCAGACAAGGGGTTCCTAGAGAGAAAGGAGACTTGCTGAGGAGGAGGCCCGCATCCAGCAGGGCGCTCTCTTATGCCAAGGCTGCTGAGGGCAGCGAGGAGACAAGCGGAGGGCTGGCAAGGCAGGGGTGGGTGTCTCACCAGGGCACCGTGCGCCGCCCGCCGCAGCACCATCCGCTCGCCGCCCATGGCCGAGCTCCGTCCGGCTACGGCCGCCCGGCAGTGCGTGCCGGCTCCGCCCCTGCCGGGTCACCTTCCCGACTCCCTCCGCCCCGCGGCCCGCCCAGAGCAGCCCGGCCCGGAAGCGGCTGCGGGAGCTCCGGGCATGGTCCCCTTGGCCTGCAGCGATGCACCCCAAGTGGGCGCCTCCATGAGACCGGGCAGGCATCGCCTCCGGGCCGAGTCGGTGAGTTAGAATCCTGCTGTGGGGCGCTGGCTCTTGCGGTTTGAACACGCACCAGAACGGTGTGTGCGATTGAGTTTGCAGGCTCCTAGACCGCTACTCCCGGTGGTGTTCCAGGCTGTGCCCCCACTTCAGGCGCCCCTGGTGGACCGGTCAGACAGAGTTAAATCTCGGCTTAGGGCACCCTTGTTCCTTATCGGGTTTGAGGTGTCCCCCCCCAATCCAGCATCCTGGTAACCACGCACGCATGCTGGGAGGAGCAGGTGATGGTCCCTGCCACCCACTGGGAATCCGGAGGAAGTTCCTGGTTCTTGGTTTGGGCAGGAACCCAGCCAAAGGAAGATTATCTGTGCCAGACGCTCAGGTAAAGAGGAAAATGAAAATGTAAAGACAAGGCGAATCTCTCTGGGATTTTTTGTAAAACATTCTTTTATTAAAAGAACAAGTGCTGTTTATGAACTGCCCTTCGTACAAATGACATCCGTTATACAAAGATACAAGATCCGGGTTAAACACAATTCCAGGCTTGGAGGTGGCAGGGGCCGTGCCTTTGGGGCTGAGGATAGAAAGGTTCTAGAATGCCAAAGGGCCCCTGGGAATTGCAACCTTCGGCTTCCCCTCCCTGCCCCCTAGGAAGGGTCGGCTACATGGAAACAGGTTGGGCAGGGGGTGGAGGGCTGGGGTTCAGGTCTCCAGTCCCACCACCCAAGTCCCAAGTCTGGCCGGAGGAAGTGACCAGCAGAGGCGGAGTGGCCAGCTCCTCAGTAGATACTGTGGCTGGGGACTGCGGGGATGGCAGCAGGTGTAATCCCAGGGGTATGGCAGGAGGGAGCCAGGACTGCTCAGCCCTGCCACCCACCCACGTGACCCCTGCCCCAGCAGGTACTCTTCTCTGGGAGTCAGTTGGAATTGAGTTGAACTGGGAACAAGCTCCCAACTCCTGCCCCTTGTACCTACAGGTGCCGCCCCCAGAAGCCTGTTTCCGGTCTAGGGAGGGGGGCATGGAGGTTTCCCTCCTTGTCTAGATCCTCCCTAAGAGGCCAGGGTGGGCACCCAGAGGTCACAGCAGACTCAGGAGCCAGAGGGGAAAAACCCCACAAACAGGAAAAACGAAAGAATGAAAAAAAAAAAAAAAGGCAACCCTTAAAGTGTCGTTTGTCTCAAGAGGATCCAACAGCTGTGCGCTGGACAGTCAGTGCCACAGATGCCCTGCCCCCAATGGCGCTGCACACACACACACACACACACACACACACACCCCGAGGCTGTGTGGCCAGCGCTGGACAGTCAGTGCCACAGATGCCCTCCCCCCCAATGGCGCTGCGCACACACACACACACGCACCGAGGCTGTGTGGCCGGCCTGGGAGCCCAGACCAGCAGGCTTGGTCCTAAGGCTGTCTCTGGCTCCATTACAGAGCCGTGTCCCCATGCCAGACTTGGGATGGTCACCTGTGAAGCACACAGCTGACCTAAATGACCCCAGGACCAAGTCCCCTCCAGCTGGGACAGTTGTGAGCCAGTCGTGGCCCTTGGCTGGACACAGGCTCCCTGGGCACAGCACCCCTCACCCCCTACTAAGGGGGACACAGCACAAGCGCAGCTCACACAGGTTTGCACACTCCACTTCCGTTCCGCAACCCACATCCTTCCCCTCCCCCAGGCAAGAGGACTACAAATCTGTGTGTCTATCCAACCTCACCCAAATACAATTTTCAAAAAAGAGGCTGAGGCAGGGAGAGGGCAGGGTGGCGGTGCCTGTCCTCCTTCATGGGGTCCTGCCCCCTCCTGGGCAGCACATACCCACATCCAGCTTAGCTCCCTTCTTTGGGTCCGCCTGATGCCTCATAACCACCAACACAGCACCGCTACCTAGGAAATGCCAGAGGCTTGGGGGAGTTGTACATCACGCACTCTTGGCGGGTGGGGGCTGGAAGAGCCTCGACCCCCGGCCCCAGGGCAGGGGAGGCCCAGCGGACCTCCTGCTTAGACTTGGCAGCCTGGGAGGGGCTGCCCTCTACACAGCAGGTAACCTGGGCAGCAATGGGCATCTCCCAGAGCCACTTCTCTTTCCAGTAGCTTAGGGACAGGGAGTCAAGAAGCCTAATTGATTACGATGAATAAATGCTCAAGTCTATCACTTCTTCCTAACCCATATTGAACGTTAATACAGAGAATTTCTGAGGTCATTACAGCAGCTTCCCCCTCCCCCAAGCCCTTGCAAGTGCCCAAGAGATCACCTCAGGACGCCCCCTCCCCTGTCATCACCTCCCTAATGTCTTACAAAGTCTTATCAACAGGAATATTAATATTATTCTCAGTATCAGAAAAAAACAGTTGAGCAGCACAGGCAAAAATATATCTGCACTACATTTCTGTCGTTGCCAAAAATATACACCTCTTCTTTTCTTTATTTAAAAAAAAAAACAACCAAAAAATACCCAACAACAAAACCCAAACGGAAACACACACACACACACAAAAAAAAAAAAACCTCACACATGCAAAGAGATGGACAGGAAGGGAGTGTCAGGGGAGGGCGGAGCCCCCAGTGCACTGACCCAGGGACACAGGCTTCCCAGAGGCCCACCGGCAAGGGGTCACTAACCACCTTCCCCAAATGGCTGGCAGGTGAGGGGAAAGACAGGCATCAGGTCAGCTTAACGGGCTTCCCTAGGGTATGGGGGTGAGAAGCAGGCTGGCTAACTGCTAAAAGAAGTGGCACTGTACCCCTCCCCCCTCCCCCCATCTCTGGGGCTCCCCTTGTGCAGGGAAGAAAGACTACACACCAGGAGGGGAGGGGGGCCCTGAGACCAAGAGGGCCTAGGGGAGGGAAGGCAGGATGGTACCCTGATTTGAAGCCCCCAGCCCCCAGTTTCTCTCCAATACTGGAGTACTGTTCTGGTTTGTGTTAACCAATCATGCCCCACACAGGAACAGAAGGTGGTGAGGTGGGGCAGGTGCCCCACCCTCCATGCCCTGCACATCCTCCACATCCTGTGACCTTTGTTCCTTTTGCTCCTGTCCCTGCCCTTGGCTGCCACAGGTCCATGGTAGAGAGACACACACACACACACACACACACACACACACGCGCGCGCGCGCGCGCGCACACACACACACACATTTGCTCTGTGGGTCAGGTGGCTCCATCTCCCCACCCTCCGCACTCCTCAAGCCAATAGTGCAAAAAATGGGCGGGGCAACAGAGCCAGTCTGGCCCCTTCCGCACCTGCCCCTCCCCAGCACTGGGCCCCTCCCTCAACCCCCCTCCACCTCTGGGATTTTACAAGCTTGGCTTGTGACCCCCCCGGGCAGGGAGGGCTGGCCAACAGCAGTCCCAGGAGCCCATCTGCCACCTGCCCAGACTGGGAAGAAACTGCACATCAAGTCTGGCCAGCCCTTCTCTGCACGACACCTTCAAGCCAGGGCCGGGCCCTGGGCTTGTCTCTCTGCCCTGTTCAAGTGCAGACCCACATGAGGAGGTGAGGCCTACCAAGTGCCACTTGGACCACGGCCCACTTTGCTCTCTGGAGCCCCAGGGCCAGGTGCTGGGGGAGGACAGCTCCTGGGCAGGCTTGGGATCTATTCTCTCGCCCCCCCACCCGCCTTGCCTTGTGGGGAGGACGATGCAGGGAGGGGTATGGGCCAGGTGGAAGGAGCTCCTCCCTTAGTTTCCAGCACCAGGAGTGTCACCCATGCTCCCCGGCTGGGCCCAGCTCAGGCTCTGGGCTGGGGCTCTCCAGTGTCTGGGTGCTGGCGCCTGCTCCAGGCTAGGACCTCTCAGGCCAGGATCTGTCCGTTCCACGTGGCAGGGTCAGGGATGTGTGTTTGGAGTTTTAGCCTTTTTCCTGATTGGCTGAGGCTCCTTTGTCAGCGGTCTGGAAAGAGAACAAGGGAGGCCCAGATTTGGGAGGCGTCCGGCCCTAGTGCTCAGCTGAAAAGAGCTTCCTGGACCAAGACAGCTGCTAGAGAGCGCAAGAGGCGGGGCCTGGGCTCTGGCAGGTGCACGCCAGGGTCAACAGGTAGGGTGGAAAAGCTACCCTGCCACAGAGCACGCAGGTGCACACCCATGGCATGCCAAGGTCAGCAGGCAGTGGAGCCCTCAGAACAGGTAGGGAGGGTGGCCTGCTTTCTAATTGGTCTGCTCTGAAAAGCAAATGGCCTGTTCTCACTGGTCCTCCCGGGGGCCAGCTCTGCTCTGATTGGTTCTTTGTTAGCCCTTGCACCCAGCAGCTCCCAGGGCTCTGCAAGAAGCAACTTGACGTCTGAGCAGGGCTAGGGTGAAGGAGGAGGAACTGCCTTCCCCAGCTGTTGCATCTGATGTTCATCTGGCGATTCATCTCTGTGCACCCCAGACTCCTTACTCACCCCTCCTTTGGAGCCACTACTGCTGCCATCAGCTCCCGACAGGCCGAGGAAGGGGTTGGTCTGGGCCGTGAGCACGGGAGGCCCGCCTGCTGCAGCTACTGCTGCAGCCGCTGCAGCTGCGGCCAGCAGGCTCGTGTTGTTGCCAAGTGAGGGAGCCACCAGGGCTCCGGCGGGCAGCAGGCCAGGGGTGCCCGCTGAGAGCAGGGGGGTGGAGCTTCCTGCCAGCAGGCTGGCCATGGGCAGCTGGGAGCCCCCAGCCATCTGTAGCCGCTGCAGTTCCCGCTTCTGCTGGATCTGCTGGATCATCTGATATACCACAGTCTGGTGTTCCTGCAAGGGCAGACTGAGTGTGGGCCCAGGGGCCCTGTGGGGTCTTCCCTGACCCCACTTGCCCTGCTTGGCCCAGCTCCATCCTACTACAACAGTGGGACCAGACCCTGGGAGACTAACTGGCTTAACTGCCATTGTGGGGCCTCAGTTTCCCCATTTGGACCACACAATCTTCTTGGAAGACCTGGGAGCTGGCAGACACTAGATCCCAGCACAACTACGTAACCTGAAGTTCCAGCCCCAGATGCCTCCCAACCACACCCAAAAGGGACCCAGCTCCAATCCTAGGGGCTCCATGTCACAGCCAGCCAGGAGCGTCCCCTCTCTCGCCTAGACATGGCTCCTCAGAGCTCAGCCCTTTCGAGCAGAGCTGGGGAAGGGACCCAGGAGCCCCTTCCTTACTGGGGTCAGCTGCGGGGAGGCCAGGAGCTGCTGCAGCTGCTGCAACTGCTGCTCTTGCTGCTGCAGAAGGTGTCTCTGCTGCTCCGTGAGGCTGCGGCAGTACAAAGGGAGGGTGGGGAAGACTCAGGGATGCTCTGCCCACACTCCTCCAGCTCCCGTCCCCCCCTGGACGTGGACATGGAGACAGGGGCCAGAGAGCTTAGATGTCTGTGCTGCACGGGGCCAGTGGAAAGGCATAAACTGGATGGAGACATTTCTCAGGAGGGGAAGCCAGAGTGGGGCAGGGCAGGTGGGTAGGCTCCTGACCCCAAAGGACACCCAGTAGAGGGGGAGGGGGAAAACCAGGGACCAAGAGCTGCTTAAGCTCAGCTCCTGGGTAAGATGAGGGGATCAGCGATGCTTCAAGGAGAACCCCTCCTGGTGCCCCCCTCCCTACTGCCACCCTTGGGACTCACCTGTTGAGACAGCCTGACAGTTGCAGTGTGGGGGTCGCACCAGCCTGGCTCAAGCCCACAGGGTTGGGGGCAGCAGTTCCATTCAACCCCCCTAGGAGCCCATTGAGGGGCAGGCCCCCACTGCCTGCCAGCCCCCCGAGCAGCCCCTCAGCCATGGGCATGGCTCCCAGCCCCGCCGTCCCAGGAGCCCGGCCCAGTCCGTTTTGTGGCTGGGGTGGGAGCGGGGCCGGGGCCCCTGGCAGGGCCAGGGGCAGGGTGGCAGGGCTCTGCTGGAGCAGGGGCAGCGGTGGAGGCGTGCTGTGGAAGGACAGTGACGAGCTGCTGCGGCTCGGGCAGCCTGAGTGAGGGTCCTGCGGAGGGAGTGGGGAGGGGTTAGGATACAGAAGGCCAATGTGACCATCCTGGTCCCCAGCCTGGCCCCCACCAGTTCTCTCACAGAGCTCCTCCACCTCTGCCTCACCCATAGACACCCTGAAAAAAGCAGCAGGATGGGGGACAGGGCTAAGTCTCCAGTCTCCATCAGCAGCAGTGAGCACCACTTCCCCGGAATGCTATGGGATAGTGATGCTGGGGCTGTTCTTGTTGAGCCTGCAGAGAAGCCAAGCTGCAGGCAAGAGCAGCACAATTTGGGGAAGACCCAGGGCCCCATCCCATCCCATGCCAACCACGCTACCATGGGGGTGACCTGGGTTACCACTGCCTCTTAGCTGACTCACTCATAATCCCCCAGGGATGGGAGGGAGGATGTTAGCACCTAGTCTACACAGTGACTGAAACCAGAAGGAGGTCATTGGTGGCAGAAAGCAGACCAGGTTCATTCCAAGAAGACTACAACACAGGAAGAGCAGCTGCTATTCCAACCCACTAACTCCACAGCCCCTGCTGGAATCACCCCGTCCTGAGCATTCCTCAAACAGCCCTGCCCTGACCAACCCCAAATATGCAGAGCCTTCCTTCCCCGCCAGCCAGTGCCACCTCTGCACTGCTGCTGCTGCTGCTGCTGCTGGGGGCCTATGCTATTTGCTGCTATCCTTTGGAGGTAGGGCTGAGCCGGCTCTGTTTTCTACCCACTTGCCAGGCAGCAAGATTCCTTGCTGAAGGAATGAGCAGGGAGTCAGGCCTACAGGTGGAGCAGCCCCTCCCCCTGAGCCAGGGCAAGGGCACTGCCCCCTCCTGGCCCCACACACCTCGGAAGACGTGGACAGCGAGTGATCCAGGCCCAGACTGCTCTTGCCAGGAGGGCTCTTGCTGGTGCTCAAGGAGTCGCTGCTGCCGGCTGCCAGGGCAGTGGAGGGGGTGGGGGGAAGCGGCAGCTGGAGTGGGTGCTCGGAAAAAGCAGGCCCCTTCCCCGCCCTGGCCCTTCCTCCTGCTCACAGGCTGGACAAGGGGTCCCTCACCTTGGGGAGGCAGGCCGTAGGGCCCCGGGAGTGGGCCGTTGGCAGCGGGCAGAGCAGCAGGCAGGGCGGGAAAGGGCACGGAGAGTTGCACGTTGAGGATCTGCAGTCGCTCCTTCTTGGCCGTCAGGCTTAGGATCTGCTCCTGCAGCCGCAAGTTCTCCTTCTGCAGCGCGTGTAGCGCCTTCAGCATCTCCACGACTGTGGGAGGGGAGGCACAAAGCTCAGGCTGGCGGGGCCAGCAGCAGGGAGGCGGGGCCGGGGTGGGGCCAGCAGCTAAAGCAGGGAGCAGAAGTATGGGTGAGCCCCCACAAGAGGCGGGATCTGGGATGGAGAGGCGGAACCTGGGCTGGGGGGTGGGGGCTAGGAGCAGGAGAAGCAGTCCGGGTATAGTCAGGTCTAAGGCAGGTGCAGGGGGAGCTCTGCCAGAAGATCTGCCCAGCCAGGATTAAAGGGCGGACCCTGGGGACCCGGCAGGAGGGAGGGAGGGAGGGATGAGTCAGGGTTCCCCGCCCCTCGCTCCTCACTGTTGACCCCGGCTTCCCCATCTCCCTGCTTCTCCAGCAGCTGCTCCATGTTGGTGGTTCCCGGGGCTGCAGGGTCAAGTTGCACGCCCCCGCAGGGTGCCGACGCGGTCTGATCGAAGAGTGCGGGGAGGCTGCTGATGGGAGACCTGGGGTAAGAAGAGCAACCGAGAGCTCAGGCTCACCTCGCACCTCCCACCTCCAAGGCCCCCACCCCGCCCGTCTCCAGGGCTGCCCCTCCCTCACATGGAAGACAGACTCTCCTGGGGAGAGGTTCCCCGACACCGGAAGCTGCAGTCCTCCAGGTCTGGCTCTTAGAAGAACAGACAGCAGAGTCAGCAGGGAGGGGTCATCCCCACCTCCCGAGGTGGCTGTTGTGTCTCCTCCCCCAGGGTCCCCAAATCCCAGCACGGGAGAGTCCAGAAGGGAAACCCTATGGCTCTCGGGGTAATGCCCAGTGTCTGCTCACCTCCCTCCAGGCAGATTGGTCCCTGCTGCCCAAGGAAAGCCACTGTCCTATTTCTCCCGAGACCTAGATGGAGCTGCTGTGTGACTTCAAGCTCCCCATCGACCTCTAAGGTCCCAGACACCAGGGCTAGGCGCTCGGCCCCCCAAGCCCTCAGTCACTACAGCTACTGGCATCATTAGTGTTATCCATAATTAGAATTTACACACCAACTGCCTCCTGTCGAGCCCGAGTCCTGGGGTGTGGCCCTCTCTCCTGAGACCTGATCTGAATTTCAGAAAATAGTCTCTCTCTTACACACACTCTCTCCACTCCTTGGGTCTTTAATCAGAAGCCAGGGCTTGGGGCTGGGCCCTACTCCACCCAACAGCCAAGTGGTGTCTCCACACCCATCAGCTCCCAGGCTGGGGAATCTCCAGGGGGAAGGTGGGAACTTGGGGCAGGCCCCCTTAATTCCTAAAAACCCAGTTGGTAGCCCAGCTGTGAGGGCAGATCCCAGGCTCCACAGGACACCCCAGGAGCTGAGGCGGGGGACTACCCACAGGGGTCAGAGCTCCAGGCAGAGACTCTGGTTCTATCACTTCCTTGTCCTCTGTGGTGGACAGTCCCCAACCCCTCTGTCCTGTCTTTTGAGGCATGGGACAGTACTTCTGTCCTGCTCTGATCCCCAGCAATGCATGTGAAGGGGAAAGTGAAGCCTTGTAGGCAGGGTGGGTCACGGCCAGAGGGCGGGGGCAGTCAGCAAGCTTGCCCACATCCCTTCTGGGGTCACAGGCAGGTGGCGGCAGTGGCCTTGGGCCTGTGAGAGGAGAGGGGATTTGGATCTGAGGTCACATACCTGTGTGGCTGCTCTCGGCCTGGGTGAGGGGGTTAACGGCACCCACTGGAGTTCCAAAGATGTGGGTAGAGGGGAGGCTAAAGGTAGAACCAGCCAGAGAAAAGACCTGAGGGGAGGGGGAGAATGCAGCCTGGAGCTAGAGTATGGCCGTGTGGGGGGGAGGGCTGGGGAGGAGTGCTGGGGAGGACACAGGGCCAGGGAAGAGGGGGCACTGTCAGGCAGTGGAGCTCAGCACTCCATCCGCTCTTCCTTGACTTGCCCTGGGGTGGGGGGCAGGGAGGAGGAAGGGGAGCCAGGAGCAAGGCCCTACCTGAGTGGTGGAGATAGAAGCAGAAGAGGAGGGCAGGGTGCTGGTGAATGGGGAGCGGCTGAGGCGGGGGAGGGCTGAGGCCCCAGGGGCCCCCAGCAGGCTGGAGGAGAGCGGGGTGCTGCACACAGCCCGTAGCATCCCGCCACCGTGGGAGATGGGGTCCTTGTTACTGGTGTAGATGCCTGGAAGGATGCAAGAGGAAGCTGGGTCAGCTTGCACTCCAGCTGTCACCTGCCACCTGCCCAGGGGCACACCCTCTGGGCCCCAGCAGCACACACACCCGTCCAGTCCTACTCAGAGACTGCCCCTTCCCATGATGACAGCCACCTGACACACCTGCACACTAGCCTGTCCTGCCCTGCCCCAGCTCAGTGCTTTTCTAGTTCTCTGCAAATGCAGCATGTCCTACTGACTGTCTACCCCTGATTTCTCCAGCTGCTAGCAGGAGCCTGTCACCTCTGTCCTTTCAAGCAGATCCCATCCCATTTGTTGTCTCCATGTTTATGCCTCTGTCCCACTGCCAGACTGGCAAAGCCTAGGAATGCCCACTCACCCCAGGGGCTGCTTACCTGCCCCCAACAAGGGAGACTCCAGGCTCAGGCTGGGCAGGCTTCCAGAAGGGCCAAAGGTGCGGGAGGCCAGACCGCCTAGGCCACAGCTGACCAGGGAACCTCCAGAGAAGGGTGAGGCAGCAGTGGCCGTGAAGCCCGCCAGCTGGGCGCCGGGCAGGGAAGGGGCAGTCAGGCCGCCAGGGCCATCCTTGTTGCGGCTGCCCCTGGGACGTCCTGGCCCATGGCGGCTCCTCTTGCTGGCTTTGTGCTTCCTCTCCTTCAGGCCTACTTCGGGCGTCTCCTCAGCAGGTGCAGGGGTGGCGCTCAGTGCAGGCATCCGTTTGTGGGTGCCTGCTGAAGCCCCGGAAGCAGAGATGTGGGGAGACTTATAGTCCCCAGGGGAGGGGGCCCGGACCCGGCCCGAGCTGGAGGGGGTGGTGGAGAAGCGCATGATGGGCCCAAAGCCAGAGAAGACCACCTTCTGTTCAAAGAGGTCAGCCTTGGGGGGCTCTGAGGCTGGAGGCGAGGGAGGGGCTGGAGGGGTGGGGACCGCAGGCTTGGAGTACTTGTCCTCCTCCGGCTGCTCCAGTTTGGGGAATGCAGAAAAATCAGGAGAGCTCTGCAGGGATGATACTGCACGGAGGGAAAAGGAGTTACAGCTACAGCCCAGGCTATCTCCCACTCCCAGTGTGCTGAGCCCGGCAGGTTGAAGGCCGGCTTCCTGTCCCAGCTCTGTCTCATTTATGCTCTGAGACAGGTGTTCCCCATCCCCCAACCTTCCCACCTGTAATAAAATAGGAAAGAAACTTTCATCCCAGTGGCCTCCCAGCAATACCAGAGGCCAAGTTCTTGCAGGGCTGGAGGGTGGGGCCTCAGAGGGAGGGGCAAGGTGTTCTAGCTCCAGAGGGAAGAGCTGAGGGGAGGACCACAGGGGATCCTGCAAGGTCCTCCAGAACCAACCTGATGATCCTCACACCCCCACAGGCAAGGGCCCCTACTGGGACAGTGTGGAGCCAAATGTTGTCCCTGCCCCAGCCTCCTCCCCGGAGGCCCCACTCACCTGTAGGCTGGAAGGGTCCTCCAGAGGAGGAGGAGGAGGAGGAGGACGAGGAAGAGGATGAAGCCGAGGTCAAACTGCTCACACCTTTCCCACTACTCAGTTTCTTGCCTTTATGACCCAGGCTGTGGCTGGAAGACTTTTTCCCCTTGGAGTCTCTGTTGCTGCTCTCCGAGGTCTCCTGAGTGCTGGCCTCATGGTGGGAGGACGACGATGCCGACGAGGAGACCTGGGTCAGGCGGGCAGACATGCCAAGGCTCAGTTCTGCTACCCCGCTGGATATGTCTCTGAGCTGGGATGAAGCAGGAGGACCCAACTGGGAGTCCCTGGCTGGGCAGCCACCCAGGGGCCCAGGGACCACGACTCCTGGAGTGAGACCGAGGAGCACTGAACCTGCATAGGACTGTACCTAAATCCTTATCTGCCTCTTGAAGTAGTTCAGGGTCAGAGACTAGGATCTCCTGTGCCACCACTCTGTCCTTTTGTACTGGAATCTGCAGCCACCTGGCTTTTGCCCCTCTCTCACCACACCATGCTATTCCTGGCCAACTTGCCCTGGCTTGAGCTCAGAAGTCTTGGCCTCGGTCTCCCTGGGGCACTTCACCTCCAAAAGCCAGCTCCAGTGTCCTCTGTGTCCCAAAGCCTTGCTAGGTACCCGGGGCATGGAGTGAGTCTTTCTGTCTTCTTCTTTCCAAGACACATCAGCAGGCACCATGCTACCTTGCTGCAGACTGTGCCTACCAGAGGGCTTCATTAACCCACTGGGCGGCTGGTGGTGGTGGGACGTGCAGCCGTGTGGGCATCCGTGGGGCAGGGGCTTGAGCATGTGTCCTGCTGGTTGGCATCTCAGCCTCACTCATGGAGCAGATGACATGCTGAGGGGTCACATGGCAGAGTGCCAGCTCCATGGGCTAAAGGCAGTGGGAGAGGTAGCAGCTTCGCATGGCGGTCAGGCCTATGCCCACATCACATTTCAGCTGTTTATCTCAGCTGGGCTGCTTACCGGCTGGGAGCTTCTAGCCAACTTAACCTCAGTGTTGTCTCCGCTTTCCTCATTTATGAAATGGGGTTAATCCAATACCAGTCTGCTTGGGTTCTCTCGGGGATAAAGTGCACCCCATGTCCCCTTTCCAGGCCTGGGTTCTGGAAGAGAGCCTGCTGCCTGTCCTCCCCGCTCCATTCCTCCCACAAGGTGGAGAGCAGGTATCGGGAACTGTGCTGAATCAGCAAACGCGAGGGAGAGGCTAGGGAACACAGGAGAGTAGGAGAGCCACCCTGCGCTGGCCCTCCCTGGTGGAGCTCGGCTCCATCTTCCTCTTTGTTCTTCTCAACAGCTGGAGTTCTGAAGGGAGCCAGATGTGGCTGAGAACACAGGCAGAGGGGGCCGGGGGGGAGAACGGCTGAAAGGCTGGAGCAGACAGAGCTCGTGGCCTTCCCAGGGACCAGGCCAATCCCAGAGGATCTCTCAGATCTCCCGATCTGCCGGCCAGCCCCTGGAAAGGTCAGGTGAGCCCCCATGTAAGTGGGAAGGTGAGCAGGCAACTGGGGCAGCTGCCGCAGCAACATCATCCTTGAAACCCAATACCTGAGCCTCCTGCTAAGATGCTCAGGGCTGTGCCAACCTCCAGAGGAGGAGCGGAAGGAGGCAGGCCTAGGTGAACCATGATGGCGACAGGAGAAAGTAGCCCTTTCAGACCCCTGGACACTTGAGCAAGGCAGGCCTGAGGCCGAGGCAAGGCGGGCTGTTCTGGCTTGGATTAGGGTCAGGCCTGCCTGTTGCTCATCCAGACATGGCCTGACGTCCCTGCCCCTGTCAGGAAGGGTGGGACGCAGGGGGGGAGTTAGGGCTTCCTATGAATACCATCCCGGCCAGCGCCTTCAGCCCTATAACCTGCATGGGTGGGACCTGGGCTACGGCCCAGGCTTTGGGCATTGTCTTGATAAATGACGGATCCTCTGCCTGTTGCTGGGGCCCCAGGAGCTCTCAGCAGGCCTGAGTGCTGGACCTGACTGCTGACAGGCACATCTGGCAGTCAGCAGGAGGGTGGTACCCTACTGTCCTGGCTGGCCAGTGACTTGGAGGTCTGAGGCTGCAGGCTCATTCTAGGGGCATGAGGAGACTGGAGGTACAGCAAGGAGAAACATGAATCTGCAGCCATGGGAAAGGTGCTGGGGTCCCCTGTGTACTCTGACTCTCCCCCCTCCAGCCCAAAACAGATGGCATGTCCTGACTCCTGCCTGTTGGCAGCAGTACCTTGTCAGCAGTGGGGACCACAGGCGGGGTGAGGATGCTGGGAGGTGACTCAGGCCGCTTCTTGTGCTTCTGTTTAAGGCGTTCTTTGTCTTTTCGACTCTGCAGAGGGAGAAGTGATGGGACATGAGTGCAGGAAGTGGAGCGTGGGGCGCGGGGGTTGCTGCTCCCATGAGTACACCAGTGACACAGAGCAACATCAATGGCAGGCACATACCTGCCGGGGGTGCCCCTGGAATGGGGAGCTGTACAGTACAGAGGGAAAAGCATGTGTGGTATGTGGTGTGAGGGAACAAGGGCATGACCTGGGTTAGCACATGGCTGGACTGTGGACATGCATGTGAGCACACACAGCTCTATTTCAGGGGCCTTGGGGACACAGTCAGGTCACAGGGAGGATTTGGCAGACCTCTACCCTCTGAAAACCTCTCATTCCACTCCCTCACCCCCTCCTGTTCCTCAGTGGCCTCAGAGGAAAGATGAGGACAAGACCTGGCAGTGGGTATGTTGGTGAGGACTGTACTGGAAGTTTCTGGAAGGAGGAACCAGCCCCCTGTGCTAGTGAAGATGCATGCGGGCTGCGGACAGGGGTGATGCAGGGCGGGCCTCACCTTCTTCTGGCTGCGCTCGTGGTGGCTGGCGTGCTTTTCCGGCTGGGTGGACGGTGAGGCTGACCGGCTTCTCCGGCCAGCGATGAAGCTGCTGCTCCCACCCCCGGTGCCACCTCCACCACCGCCGCCGCTGCTGCTTCCACCTCCGCCGCCGCTGCCACCCGCTCCTCCTCCCCCACTGGTGGGCCGGGACGTCTTCTGGAGGAGAGCAGGGAGACAGCTGGCCCCATCCTCTCCTCTCCCTCAGCTCAGAGAGATCCTGAAGGTGAAGTCCCGTGGGCCTGCCCAGTGCTGGGTGGACCCTTGTCTCAGGACCTTTGTGCATGCTCAGGTTTGCACAGCCTTGTAGCTTACACTGTGAGGTCAGGAGGAGGCAGAGGGCGTCTCTCTTTCCCCTTTGCACCCACTCTTTGCACTGTGCCCTCGAGCCACAGCCTCTTTATGCCTCCTCCCCTGGAGAGGAGAGCCTGGCACCTCGATATCCTGTCCTGTGCCAACACTCCACCCCTTCTGCCATAGAGTCTGGTCCTTCCCCCACACACACCATGCACAGTGGTTCCCAAAATGTTCTTCCCTTGACCCAGAGAGAGGGTGGGACAGCAACACCCCTGACAAAGCCCTTGGAAAGCCTTCCTGTCGCCTCCTCCAGCCAGGGTTCATCTGTCCCTTCCCTGACCCCCCAATACCCTCCCAGGCTGCTCAGCCAGCCATCCAGTCTTCACATCTCCACCCAACACTGGCAGCACACCAACCTGAGTGCCTTATCACTCAGGTTATCCTACATCCTCATCATACCAGGAAACCAAGGCAGCCTCATGACTTTGCGCCCAAACCAGACAATTGGGCAGTAACAGGGTGGAACCTACCGCAACAGTGACAGGCCACGCGGGGCCGCCTGGGTGTGTGTGGGGAAATTCACGTTCTGGCTTTCCCCACGCGGTGTCTCAGTTACCCCCACGACCAGGCCAAGTTTACCTAGAAACGGCACTAGCATCCTGCCTCCTCCCTCCACCCCCTGGCTCACAGCTGTCTGCCAGCCACTGGCCTGGGTGTTTCCAATCTGCTGCCCCGCGCTGCCTGGGTAATCCTCCCAGAGAACAAATCTGATCATGCTGCCCTCCTGCTTATGGCCCACGGCTGCAGCCTAGGGGTGAGGACCAAGCCACAGTCTCCTCCCCAAGACTGTTCCCCAGGAACAATCGGGCCACACTGCCCGTTCCAGATCCCCTGCAGCTGTGGAGAAGCAAGTTAGGGAACCTCCAGGAGCCCAGTGGTTTCCACAGCTGGAAAGGACACAGCGTGCCCAGTTCTCAGGCTGCTCAGAGGCCCCCCACCACAGTAGATTAAGCGCCCAGGAGAGGCGTGCACCTGCACAAGGGCTACCTCCCACTTCTGCCTTGATGGCGTCTTCCTTGAAGCCTTCCACACTGACTGGTGGGCCAGAGCTGAGCTGCCACTTGTGCTGCGGATGGCTTAGCTAAGCTCAAAGTCACACCTCTCAAACCAAACTTTATCATGTATCCCTCTTCGAATGGAGAGCTCTCTCCTCCCTTGTCCTCCCAACCCCAGCCCTGACCCTAGCCCAGGCCCCATGTCCACACCCTTGAGTGTGGGCAGAAGCACTCACCATCTTGCTGAAGTGGTATTTGCAGTAGCCGCAGTACTTGACATTGTCTACCTCCAGCACTTCTTCCTCACACAGCAGACCTGCCATTTGGGCACTGATCCAGAGAAGGGAGCCTGAGGAGGGTGTGGCCACAGACCAGACAGGCCACCTGCCTCCACCCCTGACCGCCCAGGTGATGCCAAGCCCATCCAAGGCCAGCAGGGGCACTGCCACCAGAGACAGCAGTGAAGGTGTGCCCACTGGGTAGCTGTCAGTGACCAAGCAGGGCTGGGGAAAGGGTGGGGACAGGGTGGTCTCACCAGGTGACATGGAAAGCTTGTCGGCATCCGTGACGGTTACAGGTCATACAGGCCCCCGAGGCTGCCTTGCTTTCCCGACCCTGCTCCTCGCAGATGTAGCAGGTCTAAGGGATATAGCACGATTGTCCCCCCCTCTGGGTAGCCCTCATCTCAAGACCTCCCCCCACAATGCCAACCTCTCATCACCATTCTAGAGCAGTGTTGTCCAAGAGAATGTTCCCAGTGATGGCAAGGTTTATGACCTGCACTTGCCAACACAGTGGTGTCTAATTCTACAGGTGACTGGCTAGTGCTCCCAGGGGTGAGGGGACGGGGACCCAATTCTAAACAACACAACTGCATGTGGCTGGTGGCTCCCCTGCGGATAGCACAGTCCTGGGGTCCTGAGCTCTACAAGGCCAGGAACTGTGCTTAACTTGCTCATGTGGAAATGGTCTTTGCATAGACTATTGCTTCTGGCTGGAATCAGAGACCCCTCTGGTCTCAAGGCTGGCTCTGCCCCCTCCCGACCCTTGCATTGGGTCTTAGCCTAAAAAGGACTTCTCTTTGGCCACTGCGGCCCGAAGTAAGCCCACAGAGGGGAGTGTTAGTTCAGTGCCTTGCTGATGGCCTGCACAGCACCTGTTCCACTTGCTTGCTCAATGAGATGGATGGTCTCTGCCTAGAAGGCCCTGGGTGTCATGGGACGGGGAGGCAGCACATTGACCGTGACCACTCCAGAACACTGCGCTGGGTCAGGCACGCAGTATGCACCCAGCAAAATGTGTCCAGGGACACAACTGAGTGAACTGTTTGCTGAGCTCTGGCCTGGGGGGAGTCTATTTTCTCCTGCTCTGTGTGTGTGTGTGTGTGCGTGTGTGTGTGTGTGCGTGTGTGTGTGTGTGCGTGTGTGTGTACAGGAGTCTGGGTCACAGGTACATACCTACCTATAGCCTAAGTGCCTGCAAAGTGCTGACTAGACAGAAAGAAGAGTGCAGTGGACAGACCCAAAGATGGCTGGCCAGGGGCCCGGGCCGGGGCCCAGCAGGGGTGCTGACCTTGTTGAAGCGATCATGAGGCACGTACTGCAGCACGATGGGCTCCATGGTGAGCACGTTGGCGAACTGCACTTCAGGGATGTAGAGGGCACACACCACGTGGGCCCAGCCTGGGGCGATGCAGGGTCAGCCTCAGCTGCGGATGGCGAGCCTGAGACCCCACCGCTGGCAACCACAGCCCCATGCCACCCTTTCCTCCTCCACAGCCTAGCCACTAGACTCCTGTGCCCTATGCCCTGCTTAGGGTGGGGTCCTGGCGGCCTCCGTGGCTGAGCCCTGGAACTTGAGGCTCACCTCCATTGTCGGTCCTCTTCAACGCCCCGTCTTTGTGTGGGCACAGCTCACACCTCTGCCAATGCAAGGGGGGGGGAACGACACAGGGATTGGGGCACTGCTGTTCATGCCCGAGGGCCCTGGCTAAATAATCAGGGCCAAGTGACAGTGACAAGGGAGGTGAGGGCAAGAGTCACCAAGGTCTGGGCTACAGGGACACAGGTGTCTCCCCAGCTCTCCTTCCGCTTTCCCAGGTAACCCCAAATTCAGAGACAAACCTCTATGTCCCTGGAGTGGGGACCAGAGGTGGGGCAGAAGGAGGGATGAGCCGTGCAAGGGATGGGGCTGGTGACAGGTGTACAGGAAACAGGAAGTGCTGTGGGAACCCCACCCCAGCCTTAGCTCAGGTGTGGGGGGGAAAGGGTCGGTCGGGAGGGGGTGGGAGTGGGAGGGGGCAGGGTAGGGGGTCTGGGTCTGGAACTCACCACCCTGGCTGCTCTCTCCTGAGACTCACATTTCCGGCAGAACCAGGGTCCTGTGGGCACCTGAACGATGCCATAGCAAGCTAGGGGCAGGGGACAAAGCTGTCAACAAGGATTTTCTCCCAGAGCCCATGTGGGGGGCAGCGGCAGGTGGAGTAGACTGCTCCCCTCCCTGACCACACCCCCACAAAGGGTACTCTAGGGCAGCATCCAAGCACACAGCCACAGGGCAGGAAGTCAGAGTCTGACCTTAAACTTCCAGATCCTCCCCTCCACCCATGCCCTTTTTGGACCTGCTTCCCAGTGCTTGCCAGACCCCAAGCATTAGGAGCCAAGAAACAGCACCACAAGCAAACAGATTTTGTTGTTATGGGGGGGAGGGGAGGTGTGGAGGCATCACTCCTTAAAGGGCCAGTAAGGGGCCAGGTGGGCAAGCTGAGGGCCAAAGATTCCTCATCTGCTCCCACTATCCCAGGCACAGGTCGGCAGAGCACAGGTGCAGCACACGTGAGGGAGTGCAGGGGAATGGCGGGAAGAGCCCGCAGCCACAGCTGGATGGTGGTGGGGTGTCCCAGGAAGTGGAGGGGACCCAGCTGGCTGTGCCAGACAAGCAGGAGATGCCAGCCTGCGCCCTCGGCAAGACTCCTCAAGGAGTTAACTCCTGGGCCATGTGCTTCTTGCTGCTGGGGGAAACTCCTGAACCTCGTACTCCCTGCATTCCCGGAGGGGGGAGGAGCCCGCCTCCCTACCCCCCTGCACAACCTCTCCCTCCCCAGGGGCTGCTCCCAGTCCTCGCTCTCCTGGGACCCTTCTCCTCCCTTTCCCAACTCCGCTCCTCCCAGCATCCGGAAGCGAAGGGGGGGAAATGACCCCCCTTGACCTCTTCCTCCGGGAGCCAGGACCAAAATAACCCGGCGGGAGGGGACACCTCGCAGGTAAACACAGCCCGGGCCGCCCCCCGACAGGGGCGGTGTGGGGCGCCGGGAGTTCCCTCAGTCGCTCCCCAGACTCTCCCCAAACTCCCTCAACTTGGGGTTGCGGGGGGGCGCGGGGGGGACGCGAGGCCCGGAACAATAGGCGAGAAAACAATGCCCTGACCGGGTCCTTAAGGACCGGGTAGCGGGGACACCCCCTCCGCCTCCCTCGGCCTTCAGGTGGGGTGGGGGAAGGGCGCGCGAGCCCCAGGAGGTCTCGGGAGGGCGCGGCCCGGGGCGCCCCAAGCGCACGCCGCCCCCGGGGGTCCCGCCGCCGCCCCCTCCCATCCCCGGCCCCAACTCCCCCCACCCCACCACCAGCACGGCGTACCTTGGTGGACGGCCACGCTGCATGCGTGCCCATCGCAGTAGACCAGCGGGTTCTCGGCCCAGCCCCTCTCGTCCGAACATACGCAGCAGCCTCCTACCATCTCCTTCATACTCCCATGAGCTCCCTCCGGGGCTGGGGCGGGGGGCCGGCCGGCGGGGGTCGGGGGTCAGGGGGGGAGGGAGGGAGCGGGGGGCCGCGCGCCTCCTCGCCCCCTCCTCCGCCGCCGCCGCCGCTTCTTTTCTTTGCCTCCTCCTTCCTCCTCCTCGGCGGCCTCCTCCTCCTCGTCCTCCTCCTCCTCCTCCTCGCTCGCTCTGTCTGGCCGCCCCCCCCGCCGTGCTCTCGCCCTCATGCCCCGACGGGCCCCCCCCACCCCGCCCCAACAATGAGACTCGCGCGCCGGGCTCGCCCCCTCCGCGCCGCTCGCGCCGCTACCACGGCCGCCCGGCCGCCGCGCAGCCCGGGCCCGGCGGGGGAGGCGCCGAGTGGCACATCCCGGGCGCCCGCCCGCTCACGCGCCGCCTCCCCGGCCCCCCTGCCCGGCCGCGGCAGCCATGGCCGCGCGCCTCCGCTCGCTCGCTCCCGGCCCGCCCGCCCGCCGCCGGGTAAAGTCTTAGGTTCAGGGAACAAAGCCTGGCTTGGTAGGGAGCTTTTTCCGCTCCTTCGCAGCGCGCTTCTTTCCCCTCTTCTTTCTTCGGCGTTTTTAGGGCTCGCGTCGGTGGCTCCCGAGCCACCCCTTCTTTCCCCTCTCTCCCCTTGCCCTTCCGCCTCGGGCCCCGAGTCTTTGGGTTTCTCCAGCCCCGTGCTCCCAGGTTCTTCGTTGCTGAGTCTGTTCTTCAGCCCTCCACCCGACCCCAGCCCTGGATAACTTAAGGGGTGTTTTGAGACAAGGCAGACGGCCGCTAGCCCTTGGGTCGCTGGAGCGGAGGAGGGGGGGTCTCTCCAGGAGCCGTGCGGGAGGGCAGACACTGGCACACAAACACCATTCAACAAGTATTTATTAATCTCACAGCCTTGTGACAGCATGAAGCAATGCACCCTGCCCGCGGGGCGCTTCCCGTCGACTGCCCAGGCACTGGCGCAAGCGCGGGGACTCTGGGCACCAGGGCATCCACAGCCAGACAGAGCAGAGTCCTCCCCGCGACCCCCAGGCCCGGCCCTCCCAGAGCTAGCTACACGTTCCAGCCACAACCCCACGGATGCGCTTTGATCCTCCGCTAAAGACACGCACTCGCAGGGCCCTGCCGTTACACACGACCCTGGGGCGCACGCGCGGACCCAAGGATTAAAGTCCCTGAAAGGGAGAGGGGTGTCTAGGGGGAAAAAAACGGAGGGGCTTCCGCTGGTAGGTTTCTTTCCTAAAACTGACGTGGGCAAGTTTAGGGAGGCAGGGAGATAGGAACCCCACACACTTGCTGGGAGATGAGGCGACGCCCGCGGGCACCAAAAGTCACAAACACTCAGGCACGCACCCGCAGGAGGTGGCGCGCCGGAGGGGAGAAGGCAGCCCTGGGGGCTCCGGCCACACTTCAAAGCCCTGGCGGCCCGAAACGCTTCCTGGGGGGAGGGGCAGGAGTGGGGCCGACTGGCAGGAGGGCCGAGGGTGGGGGGAGGCCGCCCCTTCCCCCGGCAGACTCTTCCGCCGGGTCCGCCTCCTTTTCACCAGCACCTGTTCAACCGGAACATCAAGGGGCCGGAGCCCGCCGCCCCCCGCCCGCGTCTCTTCAGTACCTTTCATCCGGGAGAAGGGGGGTGAGTCCCCGCCCAGGAGGGGGGCGGGGGCGAACTTGTCCTTGACCTGGTCCGCGGCGTCAGGGATTTGCTCCCTTAATCCCCGCGAGGCAGCGATTTGGGGAGGTCAGGGGAGCTGAGGTCTTTGCTGCTGCACGCATACCCACCCCCACCCTCACCCCTTCTATCTTCTCCTCTGCGTGCACAAGGGAAATCCCAAAGGGCTGCCCGCACGAAGAGACCTCGTCCACACTGGCGGAGCGGGAGACACCTGACTGCCAGCGGCTTCCGAGCCTGGAGGAGCGAGTGTCGAGAGCCTGGGCATTGTCTCCCGCCGGACTCCTGGCGAGCACAGCTCTCGCCCGCTGGTTGCTCTCAGATTTGTCAAGCTGGCACACGCGGGAAAACTTCTAAAACAAGTCGCACAGGACCCTGATATCGGAGTTTCCAGTGAATTCCCTGTACTGCAAAAATAAAACCGCAAGAACGTCCAACGCGAAGATGTCAGCCCTTGACCGTCGCTGCTCTCAGTAGATTTGGATATTTGCTTCTGGGACAGACTACCAACAAATTGGTCGCAGTTTCTGGTTTCTCTGGACAGGGGTCCCTAGCCCAAGGGGTGCGTGACCTGGGAAGATGGTTCTGTTCTGGAAGGCTTTGTTTTGGGGTGTCCCCATGCACCCTCCAGGCTCGCAGTACGTGAACGGGTCACTGCGCTTGTGCGCCGAGCGGTTTAGGAAATTTTTTTTTCTCCCCACCACGCAGTTTAGAATGGGTGTCAACTGGCTCTGTTTTATGGGTGGGGCAACTGAGAATCCTGCGGAAAAAGGGGCACAGCCCCAAAGTCGGGGCGCCGGGATTTGAACCTAGTTCGCCTGCTGCCATCGCGGCTCTGCCACTCCCCATCCAACCCCGTGGGGACCCAGGGCGGAGACGTGCAGCCCTTTTCCAGCTGCCGCTGTGCAATCCCCCTGCACCTGCCCAACCTCAACCAGGAGGAGCAGGGGCAGGACCTGGCTGGCCAGCAGCAAGCGGCTCGAGTTCACGGCGCCGTCGGCGGAGTCCTGTGTTGGGGCGTCCTGCGGGCGCTGTCCGTCTGCACCACTCGGGCCTCAGTGTTGCTCTCCTGTCAGTGGGACGTTCATAACCTCTGGCAAGGGTTGGGATGGAGAGCGAATGGCCATCTGCGCTAAAGCACACAGTAGGCCCTCAGTCCCAGCTCGCCTGCTCTCTGGTCTTCTCCCCGGCCCCCCATGCACACTCTCCGGACTCCAAGCACGCCTTCCCACTCCTGCTTCCCGCGTCCCGCCGTGAAGGGACGAAGGCAGAGACGACCAAACAGAAAATTATTTCCGCACGCTCGGCCCGCCCCGCCCAGCCCCGCTCCGCCCCGCCAGTCCCCGGAGCCAGAAGGGGATTGTGGGGCCGGAGTCGAGCGGGGCGGAAGCGCGCGTCGCGCTGCTGCTCGGGCCCGACCGCACCGGCCCCCGCACGCTCCCGGGCCGGGGCTGCAGGCTGTGCTGGGGCGGCCCCGGGGGTCGAGGCGCTGCCGCCGGCGCGTTTCCGCGAAGTCTGGCTGGCCGGTTCCGGGAAGCGGGCGGGGGCGGCTGCTGGGGAATGAGGTTCCGCTTCTGCTAGCTGGCCTGGCGCTCGGTGTCGCGCGAGGGGTTGGTGGGGTGGAGGTGCGACCGCTGTGGTCTGTCCTTTGGAAGCCCCTGGCTGTGGGCAAAGGTTGTGTCGGTTGGTCGTATATGACTTTCTCCCGCCAAAGCACGGTTTCTGACCTTGGGCGCTTTCGGTGCGGGGCTGGGGTGGAGGGTAGGGATGGAGTTTGGTTATGGTCGCTCTGCCTGTGAGCAGCCTGCGGGGTTACCTGGCAGGTGGGTGGATAGAAACACCAGGATACAGGTGGAGGAGCAGCTGAGTGAGCCTCAGCTGGGTTCTGTCCCAACCCTGCCACTGCCACTTGCTGGCTTTGATCGGGAGTTAGCACTGCCTGGGCTGGGGTGCAAGGTTTCGGGTTGCAGCCCGGTGTGGGGCTGGGGTTGTGAAGCCGGTGCCTGTCAGTGCTCCAGGTGGAGCAGGGTGTTTGCCCAGGCTGTGCCTGGGGGATGGTCCGAGGCCGAGACCGGCTTACAGGGGGGTGGACTGGCTGTTTCCTAAGGGAGAGGGCCCAGTGAGTAGGATGAAGGGCTGTGGGAAAGGAACTGAGAGGGCGGGAGGGGATTCCCCGAACCCCAGGAGACTGTAGTCACAGTTACTGTTAACAGTGACTCTGCACTCGTGGGATTTTTTGGGGGGCTTCTACCGGAAGAAAGCTCTGGTAGACACTGCCATTAGCTGGCAGCCTCAGTTGGACAATCTGTGAAGTGGGAACCATCTGCCCCGCCTCCAGTTAGGGAACCTGCAGCCAGCCACGGATCCTGCAGGTGCTTTAAGTACTGGTTGAAACCCCGGTGCCATGGCTCCATAGGCTAATCCTTCCCTTGCAAGGGTCAGGATCCCATGTGGACACTGGTTCATGTCCCAGCTCTTCCACCTCCCATCCAGCTCCCTGTTTGTGGCCTGGGAAAGCAGTAGAGGACGGCCCAAAGCCTTGGGGTCCTATACCGGGGTAGGAGACACAAGAAGGGCTCCTGGCTTCGGATCAGGTCAGCTCTGGTTGTTACAGCCATACCAGCGGATGGAGGATCTTTATCTCTCCTTCTGTCTATACATCTGCCTTTCTAGTAAAAATAACAAATTTTTGAAAACAGGCAAACAAGTACTGCTTGAGCCCAAGTGGTCCCCTTGTCCCCACTAGGGAATCAGGGACTTCCTTTAGGGAGTTGGGGTAGGTAAGAAGCCAAGAAGTTGGTGGGATGAAGCAGCACCTGCCCCCAGCTTGGCACAGAGCTCAGAGGAGTCAGCTCAGCCCTGCCCTTGCCTGGCAGCATGACCTTCAGCACAGAAGTCGTCCTCTGTGGCATTTGGCCTTGGAAGTCCCCTGGGTCAGTACTCTGTGGCTGCTGCCTGGGCTCCTGGGGAAGTTCCCAGACTACAGGCTGGCAGGTGACTGGCATACTCATGTTGCCATGTTCCTCTTTGCTGCTGGTCCCTCCTCGGCTCTGTCCTTGACCCTCCTGAGGTTGTGGCCATCAGGATAGACAACTGCTAGCTGCATTGTTAAGTCTTGCAACCAGCAGGACATTGACTTGTGGAGGGTGACGAACAATGGCTTGGGACAGTGAGGGCCATGATGCTGCTCTGGCCGGAGGCAAGGAATCACGGTGCCCTTGGGGGCCAGGGAAGGCCTGTGCTATGGCCAAGTGGGAACAGGGCAAGGTGCAGGCGAGCAAGGGCCAATGACCGCACGGGTGTGTGCATGGCAGGAGAAGGTGCCCTTGGGTGGCTTGCTAAGGAGCATTGGGGCTTCATCCCGAGGCTTGTCAGCAGGAGAACCT